AAAGCGAAAATACAACAGGGGACGTAGTATCAAGGAAGATTGTGTAAGTAGCATTTCCGTAAATATACTTGACAGGTACTTGGAATTTATGATCGATCAACTCGAAAGGGGCATTTTCAGAAGGTCAGAAACCGGGAAGCAAGCACAATAATAACAATTATACAGGAATATGTGCAGCCGGGCATTACGGTATATACGGATGATTGGAGAGCGTATAGATGCCTTCATAGACTTGGGTATGTCCATCACGTTGTAGTGCACAAACGCCATTTCATCGACCCTACAACCGGCGTTCATACCAATAACATTGAAGCCATGTGGTCAAGATTGAAGGAGTTTTTAAGACCATATCACGGCTCCAGAGGTCGACTATTGTGGGGCCATATGGATGAGTTTTTATACCGTATGCATTATGATTTCAAAATATCTGAACCTTAATCAAACCGTAACAAGTTTTTAAATCATGTGAAAGAAGAATATCCACTGTAATTCATTAGTTTCTTCTAATATATTTTTACCTTATACTAACTGTCTTCTGATTGGTTAATAATCGTCAAGGTCATTTAAGATTCGTTCAAGGTTCGTCCTCATATTAGAGTCTCGACGTTGCTTCTCAAGGAGATCAGAAGACTGAATTTTATATAGTTTTTCGCCGGAGAGAATTTTCGTTTGAGTATTCTAAGTCAAAAAAATTATTTCCTGATAGATCATTCCTTGAGAAGTTAGGTAAAGAATATGTGATTCCCATGAACACATTCAAGTTTAAAAAAGAGGATAGTGGAGGATCCTGACGAACACTACGTTAAGTTAACAAAGTTACTTTTCGCTACAAACTTTGATTCAATCAATAGCGTTCGGATAGCGAGCCTGCAAAAGGTTGATTTGCTTCTTTGACACACTCTCCAATAACAAACACTGTCATAAAAACTATCAGCCAACGGAATCGAATGACACCCTAAGGTCAACAAACAATACCATCGTTGAAAGTTCGCATGTTTGTCTAAAGCCAGAAGGCTTGAAAACCAGCTATCTTTCTCGAGTTTCCTCTTCACGAGCAGCGCCGGTTAAATATAAAGGCCAGTATTTTAGACATTACACTTATCAAAATGATTCCATTGTGGTCATCACAAGATTTTATTCCTTCCTTGAAATCTGGAAGATCAGCGATTGAGACAACTCAAATAGGATTAAATATAGCTCTCCAACTCTAGCTAATATATCAGTCAACTTGACTGTTGAATCCGACAAAATCTCAATAAGGATTCAGAAAACTCTGTTGGCTTAAGTCAACTCACGTTACCTATAGAGCATGGGAGATTTCTGTTTGCCAACCAAAAAACGCGTATACTGTGTGGCAGTTTGTTCTATTTTACTTGGTAGCTGTGAAACGCGGTCTTCAAAATTAGTGGATATCCATGGGTTACTTGTATATGATCATAGATGCCTTCGAAGCATTGACCGTATATGTTAGGATCACGAAGTGAGGAATGTTGAGGTAAGACTAAAGGCTTTAGTTAAGGTTAGCAAACCGGTGACCCTTTAACGACTAAGGTAGTCGGGACATGTACTACGTATGGCTGGTTACCACCTATCTCGACGTGCAATGAGGGCTGGTGTATGAGATAAAAATAACCGAGGGGAGGGCGAAATTAAAAAGTAGTATTAGTCAACAATGTCATTACCTGTTGGTTTTGGTTATGTGAGTAGATGCAAACTACCCGGTTGGTGCACACACGATTGTTGTAATCAATGGTTAAACACCTTTAGTGATATGGTTCAGAATCGTTCACAAGGACAGATACACTCACTCCTCATGTTTCTGTTGGTCTTGAATTTTAGTATTTCTTCGTATGTACTTTGGTACTTTTTTCAAACCCTATTCTCGATGCTGAGTCTTCACATAGTCTTGGCTACTTCCACAGTTGCATATCCCGTCGATTTTAGCTTTGTGTGTTGATACGGTTTAAAAATCTAGCTAATGCACATATATGCCGGGCTCTATGTTGATGACAACTGACTGTCTAGAACTAGACCAACACGATTACTAACTAGCATCTTCAAATTCACAATAACGCACTATATAGCAAGAAATGTGTTTTTACTGAAGCGATGAGGAAGGTTTAACTATCAGCTGGCGACCTATGTGATGCTTATTGATATCAAATGAACTCCATCGGTAAATTAATGACTGGAGTTTAATGTATTTGGTCTGCAGCATGCATAAAAATCTGAGCTACTTTAATGATTATTGCTGAAATTTGTGAAACAACTGTGAATCACATGCCTATACATCTGGTTAAAGGGCACATAAAATACTTTTATAAAGGAGGTAAAAGTCAAAAAGTAGCAGAAATATGCTATGGTCATCTATATGTACTGCCTATATGCGAGATCTATTCTAAAACCATGAGAGGGATACAATAAGAATATGACTGACAACACACTTACACATAAAAATCAAGATAATAAAAAAGTAAACAGAAGAGAACTTCAAATTTTCCCTTGCAACATTTTCACTATCAGATCATCTCACCATTCATTTTCACTTTATCGGCGACCGGCAAATTTGTGTTCAATCAGAAAATGATAATGTGAAAACCCAAAGTGTATTTTAGTTAGCACGGTATATATATATATATATATATATATATATATATATATGCCGATAATACCGATAAACTGCGCCTGAGTAACATACCACTCCCATCGTGAGGCATCCGTTAAATGTCAAGGTCACATCAAGTGTATTCAGCAACCAACCAAAACTTGATTTAGAAAAACAGATACTTGTTTTTACTTCTGAAGACTCCCATTCCTGAAACGCTTTCAGTAAAGTTTGACAAAGATACTTTTAAATTGCTAGTTTTCTTCGACAACCAAGTAAATCATTGTAGTGGTTAGATGAATAACTGTTAATCTTGTGTAACGACGTCAGTAAGTAGTATCAAAATACATACATATTGGTGCACTTAATATCTGACAGGATTAACTTCCCATCGCACCCCTGCTTTCAGTCTACTGAGTTAAAAGACGAAGACTGACCGCTCAGCTGACTCAGACAGTCCTAATATCATTTCAATCTCAGGAAATTAAAAAGAGCACTGATATTTTCCCTCGACGGGAAAATCTTTTAGTTTTGATTGCATCCTAAGGTGTAAAGGCATTTTATATTTATTTTAGTCGGATTTTTCAGCTACGGTGACAAAAAAGTCCCAGTCTTTTGTGTCTAATGTCTATCACCTTTAGAAACTTAAAAAACAGTCTAGAGGTCAGTTTTCTTGTCTGCTTTTTTCCTCGCGCTTCGATAAATTTTTTGTGTGGTTCTGTCTATGAGATCACTTAGCAGTTTTAATGGCACAAGCAAAATCCCGTTATGACAGACATACATGACTCTTTCCGGTCAATGATGGAATGTGATGTGACAACTGCAACAAGTGGTATCACAACGTGCGTACCGGACCCACACTGGCCGTATATAAAAGGTTTCGCAAGCTACTATCAAATTGACTGTGCAAAGAATGCTACTCTTCAAAGTCTCTGTTGATTCTTGAGGCGATTTAGCTTCCGAACATAGCTAGGAAGATGCCCTCAGATGACCAGCCAACAGCAGATGAGCAGCTTCTAGTTATCAAGGAAGCAGCGGGCGTTACCATTGGTCCAGCTTTGTATTCGAGTAAAACAATCAAGATGGAACCCCAAAACGTAGCGGATAATAAACGTACAGATGTAGGTGCAGGTACAAGAAAAAAGAAAATGCACGCTAAGAAGAAACAAATTATTACGGTTTCAGCACCGGATTACCATATCAACGAAAAACAAGCTATGGAGATGCAAAGCCTCAGAGGTGTAGATGAGTTTACTAAGAGACAAAACAAGGCTATTGATAAGCCTACAGTTACGCCTAGAAATTTAAGAGAACAGGTTGAGATCTGCACATAATAATTTGTTTCTTCTTAGCGTGCATTTTCTTTTTTCTTGTACCTGCACCTACATCTGTACGTTTATTATCCGCTACGTTTTGGGGTTCCATCTTGATTGTTTTACTCGAATACAAAGCTGGACCAATGGTAACGCCCGCTGCTTCCTTGATAACTAGAAGCTGCTCATCTGCTGTTGGCTGGTCATCTGCGGGCATCTTCCTAGCTATGTTCGGAAGCTAAATCGCCTCAAGAATCAACGGAGACTTTGAAGAGTAGCATTCTTTGCACAGTCAATTTGATAGTAGCTTGCGAAACCTTTTATATACGGCCAGTGTGGGTCCGGTACGCACGTTGTGATACCACTTGTTGCAGTTGTCACATCACATTCCATCATTGACCGGAAAGAGTCATGTATGTCTGTCATAACGGGATTTTGCTTGTGCCATTAAAACTGCTAAGTGATCTCATAGACAGAACCACACAAAAAATTTATCGAAGCGCGAGGAAAAAAGCAGACAAGAAAACTGACCTCTAGACTGTTTTTTAAGTTTCTAAAGGTGATAGACATTAGACACAAAAGACTGGGACTTTTTTGTCACCGTAGCTGAAAAATCCGACTAAAATAAATATAAAATGCCTTTACACCTTAGGATGCAATCAAAACTAAAAGATTTTCCCGTCGAGGGAAAATATCAGTGCTCTTTTTAATTTCCTGAGATTGAAATGATATTAGGACTGTCTCAGTCAGCTGAGCGGTCAGTCTTCGTCTTTTAACTCAGTAGACTGAAAGCAGGGGTGCGATGGGAAGTTAATCCTGTCAGATATTAAGTGCACCAATATGTATGTATTTTGATACTACTTACTGACGTCGTTACACAAGATTAACAGTTATTCATCTAACCACTACAATGATTTACTTGGTTGTCGAAGAAAACTAGCAATTTAAAAGTATCTTTGTCAAACTTTACTGAAAGCGTTTCAGGAATGGGAGTCTTCAGAAGTAAAAACAAGTATCTGTTTTTCTAAATCAAGTTTTGGTTGGTTGCTGAATACACTTGATGTGACCTTGACATTTAACGGATGCCTCACGATGGGAGTGGTATGTTACTCAGGCGCAGTTTATCGGTATTATCGGCATATATATATATATATATATATATATATATATATATATATACCGTGCTAACTAAAATACACTTTGGGTTTTCACATTATCATTTTCTGATTGAACACAAATTTGCCGGTCGCCGATAAAGTGAAAATGAATGGTGAGATGATCTGATAGTGAAAATGTTGCAAGGGAAAATTTGAAGTTCTCTTCTGTTTACTTTTTTATTATCTTGATTTTTATGTGTAAGTGTGTTGTCAGTCATATTCTTATTGTATCCCTCTCATGGTTTTAGAATAGATCTCGCATATAGGCAGTACATATAGATGACCATAGCATATTTCTGCTACTTTTTGACTTTTACCTCCTTTATAAAAGTATTTTATGTGCCCTTTAACCAGATGTATAGGCATGTGATTCACAGTTGTTTCACAAATTTCAGCAATAATCATTAAAGTAGCTCAGATTTTTATGCATGCTGCAGACCAAATACATTAAACTCCAGTCATTAATTTACCGATGGAGTTCATTTGATATCAATAAGCATCACATAGGTCGCCAGCTGATAGTTAAACCTTCCTCATCGCTTCAGTAAAAACACATTTCTTGCTATATAGTGCGTTATTGTGAATTTGAAGATGCTAGTTAGTAATCGTGTTGGTCTAGTTCTAGACAGTCAGTTGTCATCAACATAGAGCCCGGCATATATGTGCATTAGCTAGATTTTTAAACCGTATCAACACACAAAGCTAAAATCGACGGGATATGCAACTGTGGAAGTAGCCAAGACTATGTGAAGACTCAGCATCGAGAATAGGGTTTGAAAAAAGTACCAAAGTACATACGAAGAAATACTAAAATTCAAGACCAACAGAAACATGAGGAGTGAGTGTATCTGTCCTTGTGAACGATTCTGAACCATATCACTAAAGGTGTTTAACCATTGATTACAACAATCGTGTGTGCACCAACCGGGTAGTTTGCATCTACTCACATAACCAAAACCAACAGGTAATGACATTGTTGACTAATACTACTTTTTAATTTCGCCCTCCCCTCGGTTATTTTTATCTCATACACCAGCCCTCATTGCACGTCGAGATAGGTGGTAACCAGCCATACGTAGTACATGTCCCGACTACCTTAGTCGTTAAAGGGTCACCGGTTTGCTAACCTTAACTAAAGCCTTTAGTCTTACCTCAAACATTCCTCACTTCGTGATCCTAACATATACGGTCAATGCTTCGAAGGCATCTATGATCATATACAAGTAACCCATGGATATCCACTAATTTTGAAGACCGCGTTTCACAGCTACCAAGTAAAATAGAACAAACTGCCACACAGTATACGCGTTTTTTGGTTGGCAAACAGAAATCTCCCATGCTCTATAGGTAACGTAAGTTGACTTAAGCCAACAGAGTTTTCTGAATCCTTATTGAGATTTTGTCGGATTCAACAGTCAAGTTGACTGATATATTAGCTAGAGTTGGAGAGCTATATTTAATCCTATTTGAGTTGTCTCAATCGCTGATCTTCCAGATTTCAAGGAAGGAATAAAATCTTGTGATGACCACAATGGAATCATTTTGATAAGTGTAATGTCTAAAATACTGGCCTTTATATTTAACCGGCGCTGCTCGTGAAGAGGAAACTCGAGAAAGATAGCTGGTTTTCAAGCCTTCTGGCTTTAGACAAACATGCGAACTTTCAACGATGGTATTGTTTGTTGACCTTAGGGTGTCATTCGATTCCGTTGGCTGATAGTTTTTATGACAGTGTTTGTTATTGGAGAGTGTGTCAAAGAAGCAAATCAACCTTTTGCAGGCTCGCTATCCGAACGCTATTGATTGAATCAAAGTTTGTAGCGAAAAGTAACTTTGTTAACTTAACGTAGTGTTCGTCAGGATCCTCCACTATCCTCTTTTTTAAACTTGAATGTGTTCATGGGAATCACATATTCTTTACCTAACTTCTCAAGGAATGATCTATCAGGAAATAATTTTTTTGACTTAGAATACTCAAACGAAAATTCTCTCCGGCGAAAAACTATATAAAATTCAGTCTTCTGATCTCCTTGAGAAGCAACGTCGAGACTCTAATATGAGGACGAACCTTGAACGAATCTTAAATGACCTTGACGATTATTAACCAATCAGAAGACAGTTAGTATAAGGTAAAAATATATTAGAAGAAACTAATGAATTACAGTGGATATTCTTCTTTCACATGATTTAAAAACTTGTTACGGTTTGATTAAGGTTCAGATATTTTGAAATCATAATGCATACGGTATAAAAACTCATCCATATGGCCCCACAATAGTCGACCTCTGGAGCCGTGATATGGTCTTAAAAACTCCTTCAATCTTGACCACATGGCTTCAATGTTATTGGTATGAACGCCGGTTGTAGGGTCGATGAAATGGCGTTTGTGCACTACAACGTGATGGACATACCCAAGTCTATGAAGGCATCTATACGCTCTCCAATCATCCGTATATACCGTAATGCCCGGCTGCACATATTCCTGTATAATTGTTATTATTGTGCTTGCTTCCCGGTTTCTGACCTTCTGAAAATGCCCCTTTCGAGTTGATCGATCATAAATTCCAAGTACCTGTCAAGTATATTTACGGAAATGCTACTTACATAATATTCATTGATACTATGTCCTCTGTTGTATTTTCGCTTTCTCACTAGTGTTTCATCTATCTCCACAATTCATCCTACTCCTCCGAATGATTGGTGTAGATGTCTCATTTTGATTACACATATGTCACGGTAATACTCATACCACTGGACTGCTGAAGTTTCGGTAACATCAGCAAACACCGCAGCCAGTGTTACTGGTGTCTTTATTACCCAATTTGCAACCATTATCATGATCTGCCTCAGTTTCAGTCGCGATCGAGCGAAGAAAGTCCCCGTTCGAGCAGATGTTTTCCTCCAACATGAAGAACAACGAAATACAATCTCACCACGGTGGTCTGCACACTTTACTGCAGTCATTTGATAACCGCAGTCTCAGGTACAAAAACTTCTTAGTAGTCTCATCTCTTATAGCCTCTCAATAGTCACCTCTTCTCTAAAATCCGCTGTAAACGGATCGTATGTGAGCATCAGGTATTAAACTTGGCTCCGTGACCTTGAAATTGCTCAAACGCTTCTGGTTAGCTCGTCCTTAAGTTAGAGTCTCGCCGAAACAACACAAGAGTATTTGGGATCTGTTTCTCTCCCTTTATATGCAAAATTTTACTTCAGGACTGATCTACATAAACGTTTAGGCTAATGACAGGGGATAAACTATTTTAGGACGATGACCGTTGCGCTTATCTTGGAAGTCTTATCATATCTGATAGGTTGGTGTTTCTCTTTGTCATTTTAAGTAGTGACAACCCACTAATATCTTGAGCTCAAGATAATCAGGTAATACAGTTAACGCCTATTATTTACCCCTTAAATCTAGGTGTATGGAATATGACATTGCGTAAGGATCGATTCCCTTTAATTGGGATTTTTTAAGCAGTATTGCAGAGTATCTTCTTGATCAAGTTGCTACTTAACTAAAATATCTGGAATGTATCGTCCTACACATGTTTCTGAATGTTAAGATAATGTTTAGATTTATGGTTGATAATGCGAAATCGTGTAGTGTGGCTTAGTGCTAACTGTTCGCAAGATTCTCTTCAAACTTATGAAATTGGATGGACGGTTATTAAAAAACTCAGTGATCAGCTATGTGCACAAATGTCTATGGTGTGGATGTCTCGAGATAAATGATAGTTGAATGTATGCGTCCATCTCGTTTGTTTAGGTTTTGCAAGTACCTTGACCAATCTGTCATTTTTTCAAAAATGTTTCACGTCTTATATGCATTATAGTTATTCAATACATAGTTATTAGCACGATATTCAGACAGTACTATGCATATGATACAAAGTACTTTATGCCTTTTTCATCTCGAAATCGTAACAGGGTTGGGGAAAAGCGCTTGCCAGCGGTTCGCTTCACACAAGAAACTAATTCTAGCAACATATTTGTGCTTAATGACTAACTTTTCTGGTAGAATTTCCAATTCTTGTCTATACCTGTCTAGATGTTTCACGTAAACCAGGTAGTGTCGTAAAACGAACTATTTCGTATGTTGCTCAATTTACTAAGAGCATTTAGACTACTACTAAGTCAAAAATTTATTAAGTTCAAGAGTGCTTAATTATTTTTGTATAATTGTGGTGTTACTTTTGTCCTAAATCTTAGCAAATGGTTTATGAGATTTTTTAAAAATTTAGATTTGATGGAGCGTATTCGGCAAATCGTCAACCAACAGAAGTTACGTTGCTTGGATGGTAAGTAGTCTAAATCATGTTAACTTCGTAATTAAGCAGCGAGATATGCAAATTCAATCATGTAAGTTGTCATAATATCCAAACATCTATAAAAACACCAGTGATATCTACCGGTGACTTAAACCAAAAGAATAACAAAAGTTAGAGTAGTTTGATAACAATTAGTGAATTGATAGATGCTCGGAAACATATCCCATCAGTCTCGGAACATGGTTACGAGCGAAACTAACCTAGATATAAACTGACAAATCATCTATGCAATTGTGAGCATCGGTAGGCAGCAAAGGCAAAAGAGATGATGATAGGGACGATAGGTGATATTCGACAGCTTGCCAGACTTATCAAAGAAGCAGGTTTTACGAATTTAGGAGTTATCAGGACCATTTTGAAAAACGATGGAACAATGATTCACTCTCAGGCCAGGAGGTTAGAACGATGGGCAGAACATTTACAATAACGAAAACTGGTCTCCAACTACCCTTCATTCGCCCACTGTTACCAAACAACCTGTATGAAATGTTAACATAGGTCATCTGACACAATGGAGTTAAAAAGCCATAGTCAAATTAGAGTGACGGAAGTCAGAAGGTGGGTTATCCCCGGAGATCTTTAAGCATAGTGGTCTAGTTTTAGCACATAAGTTGACTGAAGTTCGCTTGCGTATATAAGATATTATGTTTGCGAATTTATGAATATCCCATCATGTAGACAATTAGGCAGATTCCTTCGGCAGGTCGTAGGCAAGAATCGTCCTTTCCGGTTTACGGTTTACACTTGTGCTCTTGCAACTTACTTTTGCGAAATGAAGTTATGGTTTACTCGCCCAAATAATAAATACATTTTGTTAATTTGCACAAATATCTGCAATTTGACACAGCCAGCTATTCTGAAAGTTGTTCAAGCTACTGATACTAAATCCAACAGGTTCACTTTTATGTAAGTTTTGTAACGTAACCAATTATTATGTAGAAGAATTGTATCAATAATATACTTTGTATTCCTGCAATCAAGTCAAGTAGATTTCTTATCTGTAGTCGTGGTTGATTTACTTTTGTTTAGCCCTTCTCCGTATTTTTCGAAATATCCACTCACGTTTTTGAAATTTTCGGGTAATCTGTCAGGTAAAGTCTGCAGAAGGAGCTTCCATGTCATGAAGTTGGTTTTGACCACATGCATAAATCTGTTGTCGAGCTATCACATCTCAGACAAATCTGGGTACCAATTAATAACTCACTTTCAAAATAAAAGTCCAATACATAATCTCACGTTATCATATTCACATCCTACAATTTTTCTGAGTATGCGATATGCACAGTAAAACCGTTTGAAAAACTGAAACTGAATATATAGATTTAATTTTTGAGTGGTATCTGAACGAAACATATCTCTTTTCGTACATGTTAAACTATAAAGGCTAGTTGTTATCTTGAATATGTCTTCAACTTTGAATTGTAAATGTGGTTATCCTTTGACTGCAAGTTACAAGAATATTTTCTTTTGAATCTGATCAGACTGGGATTTGTTCTAATTGAATGTAAAGCGCCTAGTTTACATCATTTTTAAGAATATTGGTAATTTACAACTTATCCCATCAGTTTCCGAACACAATGATGAGTGAAAACAAGTCAAATCTAGGTTAACCGAAAGTCTACGGAACGATCGCGAGTAGTAGTGTGCAACGAAAGCAAAAGCGATGGAAAAGACAGCGTCTGTAGGTAACACAAAACAGGCTTCTAGACTAATAAAAAAAACCGGAATAAAGAAGTCAAGTGTAAGTGAGGCGATCTCGGAAAAGACGACACTCATCTGCTCTCAGTTCAGATGTTTGGAACGTAAGTTACTCGTATTTGATCACATATGCTCGTATTTGCTGGGATCACCGGGTATGTAATAGTGAGGTCAGACATATAGTATTAGGGAATTATGGTAAATCAATTGGTGAGGTTGTGGATCTTCATGGGTTGAGATGGCTGGGTCACATATTACGCATGCCTAACCACCGACTACCACGTCGCTCAATGCTGACTAGTGTTGGGGACGGCTGGATTACAGTTAGGGATGGCCAAACCAAAGCGTTGCATCAGTCCTTGAAGTCACTAATTCCTGGTCTGATCCATGTTGATGGATGTAGACTACTTGGTTGGAGTTCGCTTGACTATCTTAACCAGTGGTTGGAGACTCTAGGTGGCATGGCTCAGAATCTGTCACAATAGCGTATGTGTATACACTCTTTCCTTAAGTTATGAGATTAAAATTACTTTAAAATTTTCTTCCCACGAACTAATTCTTTCTACTCGTATCATTTCCTTATATTGGATGTTTTTGTTTTACTACCTTTGAAGTAACTGCTTCTATGAATTTTTTGTTCATCTTGTGCTAATGAGGTGTGGCAGCTTGTACCGATGCATATATGTGTCTGGTCCTACGTTGCGGCTGACTGACTTACTGGTATTTCACAGATATTCTCGATTCTCTGTCCTATATTTTTATTCGCGTCTTCGGACCACCATGTAAATACATTAGAAACGTGTATAGATGTGGTAAAGTTTTTAAGATTGGACGGTTGCTCAATAGCATTATTTGGGAACTACGTTCTAACTAATTTTCATTTGTTCTTTTGATTACGCAGGAGATAAATTGGACTCATCTTCAATCGCTGGATATTTGAATGATTCGATGGATGATAATCACGATAAAACTGATGTATCTTGTAAATTTGTCACGCGCAAAGTAGCTGAAACCACTGCTCCATCACCTTATCCAGGTAAGTAAAATGAAAGCATCATTTTTATAAGGCTACTATTTTCTTATTTAAAAGAACAGTGTTCTGTTTTACTAGTCGGTCCGCGTATTTGTTAAATAATTGTAACGTTCAGTCTTTGGTAGGTTTGCGTCTATCCTGAAAGTACCTTGTGTGCTGGGGAATTGTGAGAGAATCTAAAATAGGACAAGTGAGCCGACGGCTCAGTCAGCACATTCAATGCACTTACATTTAACATTGAAAACAATGGACCACACTTAGAAATAAGACATGTTAAATTAGGACAATTTGATAACGGAAACTAAGAGTTGGTAGCGTAGGGTTTCGGATGCGTTACATAATAGTTTTTGGAAATATGTATATCAAACAACAAAAGAAAGCCGTTGCGTCGTTGACGAAGAAACAAAACCAATTTGCTAGGTGAAATCTCTTTGAAAATATCATTTACTTAGGTTGCACAATCCTATAATGATTTAATATATATCTTAGTCTATTGAAAAATATGAAGTGGTTACTTTCTAGTGTTTGGAAAGTTCAAGTATAACAGGTGATATGAAGGCTAAAGGAAAATTATAAAAAAATGGGAAGGCAGATTACAATATTAACAAAGAGTTTAAAAGTATCATAGCCACGCGGGTTGATGACTCAGGGATATTAGTACGAAGAATTAGTTATGTGTAGGTACAAAAAAACTGACTGTAGTACGAAATTAGTACCGTTAAAGTAATTACTAGGTTAGTTAGAAATAAAAGAACTAATTAAAGATATATTTATCAACACCCAACCTGCATCACCGTTTTTCTGTAAGTACAATACGTGTGTTCTAAAGACCTATACACAAACACCTCAGGCAGAGTGAGGGCATACAACCACCTTTCTCCGTTATTCCATTCGAGCAGTGGGGTTAGGCAGGATTGCCCAATCTCACCATTCCTCTTCAACTTTGCCATCGATGACATTCTGGAAACAGCTCTGACGGATGTAAGTAATGGTGGTGTGGATCTGTTGCCTGGAGAAAGACTTCTCGACCTTGAGTATGCGGATGATATTGTCTTACTGTGCGAGAATGCCCAAGCTATGCAATCCGCACTTAATCAGTTGGCAATCAATGTCCGTAGGTATGGTATGTGCTTTGCACCTTCGAAGTGCAAAGTACTTCTACAAGACTGGCAGGATTCTGATATTGTACTCACTCTGGATGGTGAGCAGATTGAAGTAGTCGAGAAGTTCGTGTATCTAGGTAGCTGCATAAGTGCTGGTGGTGGTGTGAGTGATGAGATCAATGCTCGTATAGTGAAAGCCAGAGCGGCTTATGCCAATCTGGGCCATCTTTGGCGCCTTCGTGATGTTAGTCTGGCTGTAAAAGGTCGGATCTACAACGCGACGGTGAGAGCAGTTTTGCTCTATGCTTGTGAAACCTGGCCTCTCCGAGTTGAGGATGTTAGACGAATCTCTGTGTTCGATCATCGTTGTCTCCGAAGGATTGCTGGCATCCAGTGGCAACACCATGTCAGTAATGCAGAGGTTCGGCATCGAGTGTTCGGTCACAGAGACGATAATGAAATTGGTGTCACCATCTTGAAACACCGACTTCGGTGGCTTGGACATGTTCTACGAATGTCGTCCCAGAGAATTCCACGTCGTGCATTATTTGCCGACTCTGGGACTGGTTGGAAAAAGCGGAGAGGTGGTCAGTATATGACATGGTGTCGTGGTATGAAAGAAAGCTGCAAAGGTCTAGCTTCTGTTGGTCCTTCACGACTCCCTGGTTGGGGTCCGAGAGATGGTGTAACGCAGTGGCTAGAGACGTTATCAGATATGGCTTAGAATAGAAGCCAGTGGCGATCGTGCTGTAACCTCTTACTTTCTTCATAAAAAGTGTTTATATCTTCCTTAACTGAAAGATCTCTTCTGATTGTACCTTTCCGTTTCCCCCACCATTGTTCTCTCTCTCTCCCTTTTTTTTTATAATTCCCCACGTTCATTACCTTTTTTTTTTCTCTTTCCTCCTTCTCTTCAAATTCTCATTGTTTTGTGTGGCGCATATATATTTGGTGCCCCTCTGTACCAATATTTATGTGTTCAAATAAATAAATAATAAATAAAGACCATTATCTCTGGAAATTTCAGTGGACTCAAATTCTGTTTATTTATCATTCGGATGACCGTTTTAATTCCTGCTGTTATTTGTCAAGTAAATAACATGTAACAGAGCTATTGCTGTTCTGTAGTTTCTTTTAATCACCACGTAATCGCTCTAATGTGTAAGAATATAAAATGAAGTAAGTGGATACCTTTCCTCAGAGAGTTAGTCTGGGTTTGCTATACATATCTAAACTGATAGACACATTTAAGGATATGAACACCGATGCTTTTCTGAATTATTAAACATCATTTCCTAAACAATGACATCAGTTTCACCCTCGTAAACATTATGTTGGGTACTGATGTTTTTGAGTAGGTTTAATGGAGATTGAAACATGTTGGATAGATGAAGGTGGGTCTAGTTTACTCATTATAACTCTTTCACAAAGCTCACTAGCTCGTATAGTTTTTAGGTAGCCATTCTTTAGATGATATTTGTTAAATCATTCATACTTCCTAGTTATCGTTCCATTTTTTGTGAAATACTTGATTCCATAAAATGCAACGTATTGTCAACCTAATCATGAATTTTGATATTTCAGTAAACTAATAGGATGAGTTTTTATCATGGTGTTCAATAAACGCATCGTGAACTTACGTTGTAAAAGATATAATTTACTTTGCATCATCGGATTGGATTTTTATGGTGTTAGATAAAATCGTGTTTTTCTGTTCAAAGCATCACTATTATTTTTATATAACAGGGTTTTCTACTGTCAATGAAGATCAAAAGAAAATATCTACAAATGACACATATCTCAGCATATGTAGATCTGATGCAAAAGCCCATATTTTAAAACGTTTACATGGTACGAGTCCAACAAATCCGTGTGTTAGGCGCGTCTCTGCCAAAAATATACGTTCACAACACGTTGATTCACAAATCAATACAATTCCTAATAATGTTCATGCCTGGCGTCAGGGTAAAGAACTTATTCATAAATATCTTGGCACTTCATCTGGTTAGTGTTTGTTTATCGTTAAAATATAGTTTGTTTTTAAGACATTGTCTCAGTTTATGTGTCAGAGCACATTCTTATTTTGTTTTATAAACTTGATACGTGCATGAAACCGACCGATGATTTCGTTTAGTCCATTAACAATCCATTCTCTTAATTAAACTTTCATCATATTATCTTTGAGTTAATTGAGATTCTGCAATAACTTCAGAGTTTCTGTCCATTAGTCACTAAGGAAATTACATGTTCTTGGAATAAAAGGAAAATCAAAATCAATGTAAATGGTATGTTCATCTATCTCTCTGTCAAAGTTTCGTTTGAATGGTAGCTGTAGAATATATTGACATATTTTGGAACTACATCTCAGCATGTCACTTGACAGAACTGGCTGATAATTCGGTATAAGAAGGCGAGTTCACGTTTTCAGATTAATGAATGCCATGATTCGTCATTTCTGTATATCACAATTGTAGGTTCCGAAAATAACATGACACTAGGATGTATGTTAGATGTATGTATAGTACTTTTGACTGGTAATTTTATCATATTCGACAATAACGAGCAGTAATTTAATCAATCGCAGTGCGAAAACATAAAAAAAATAATTTTTCACAATCGCCTGCGACACAAAATCATATCTCGAGGAGGAATTGTATAACTTAGTCGAGTCAGTTATAGATGCTTAATTGTATAATATAGTGAATTTGTTCACATAGTAAGTTCTTGATTAATTTATGTTAAATACTATTCATTTCAATTTATACAAATTTGGCTGTAAGTAAATAATATAAACATTGATGTATTCATGTATCATTTTGATTTATTTAGGGAGTCAAATAAGTCCGTATAAGCAGTCTCTGTGCTTTAACTACGCGTCGTCGAATTAGGATTTTTCAATACCAAGCACAAGTCAGTTGAGCATTTCACAGTCATAACAACTCAGACACAACAGTATTTAAAAGTCCAGACATAACTTTGGATATGTTAGCTCGCATCAGATTATATAGTTATTTGCGTTAAGTCATTTAATGAGTATTTCATGGCCAGCTTCGTAAAAAAAGTTCTTGACGACCATTATGGTTCAACTTTAGGTGATAAAAGAGCTAGTTAGAAAACAACTTGTTGCGTCCCACATAAAGGTGGTGAGTTTATAAACTGAAGTTTGGGGAATGAAAAGGAACATTGCGATGACCTAAAAATTGATTAGTGTCTAGCATATACGCTGGTCACATGCATTTATATCTCCACGTAGAGATTAAAATGATAGATATTTAGGCAGCGCAAATACAACAACACAGAAGTACATCATTTCATATAGCTACAATTCACAACAGTACGTAAACAGAATGTTCTATTACACTATTCATGTTTTCCTGGATATTTTATGGCGTTTTATAATTTCACATTCTGCTTTGGAATGTGACAGATCAAAACGGTTCACTAAAATGGCAATCAATCTCATAGTTTAGTTTCAGTTTGAGATATTCCTTTCATAAGAACAGATTTTATTTTTCATCGGCCAGGTTATACAAAAATAATCAACCATGTAATATATATATATATATATATATATATATATATATATATATATATATAATTTATTCGTATGAATATGTTCATTTCATAATTTTCTTCCATAGAGAGTATTGATAAACATGCGGATAAGGAAGAACAATCTCCAAAATTAGATCATTCAAGCCCGTTGAGATTTGATGCAGTCATTGATAAGGAAAATCCAAAAATAATAAATGCAAACCAAAATGAACCGAACACAGTAAATTCAGATAAAACAAGTAAACAGATAGTGAATGCACCTCTTGTTGCTTCCAAGTCTGGTAAAGGTCTATTTCATCCAGTTAAGACAAAAAATGCAGTAAACAATTATTCAGGTTTGTCAACATTTTTTGAACATGCTTCGCATAATCATTTTAAAGCAAATTTTACACCTTTATTTTCCCTGTTCATGTTTACAATAGACGGTTTGGTAGATTTTAAATGAAACTATCCTATTTGATTGTTTTCGCTGTCAGAATATTAATTCTTAAAGGTCACTTTGCCTACAGTGACATTCGTGTGTTCATTTCAAGTGTTTAGAAAATTGATCACTAAATCCCTTAATTTCAGCTGTTAACTGAACTGAGTTTTATGAAATTTGGATTTTTATCAAATAAAATGTTTTAATGAGTACTAAGTTGTAAGTTATGGGGATAAATAATAATTGGCTGTTAATAGTGTTGTTATTATCTTACGGTGAGCAATGCTTTTAAAGCATTACAAGTATGCTTGTTTACAGGTATTTGGTGTAAGTCGTAGTGCATTTATGCTATGTCTAAATGACTAGTCTGATTTAAATTTTATTTCCCAATTTTCAGATGCGCTAGGATCTGTGCAAAAAGATATTCATGGCTGTCCTACACCTAGAGCTCATCTTAAGGCCCTGGTCCAACAACAAAGGGAAGCTCGAAAACAGGAGCATAAACGGCAGCTGGAAGCTGAAAAAGAGAAGCGTGAACAAATTCAACGAAATCTACATGCAACTGCACTAGCAGCTGCCGCTGCTGCAAAGTTACCTGTCACTGCAACCAAAAGAATGTCCGAACTTTCTCCAGTTATTCCTGTATGCTTATTTCAACCGGTCAAAGCACCTTTATTGACGGTACGTTTTAGGTATTAAAGTTTATGAAAAGTGTCGGTTAGTTTTATGTCTGTTTTAAACCATCGAAGCCACTTTTTTGCTTAATTAATTACATCCATTTATTTTTCTAAACATAATTAACTCCAGCGGACTTTTATTCCAAAAAAATTTTCGTCATTTTAAATTGGGTCACTCAACGTTAGCATGAATTTTCGCACATTTAAAAAGCCATATTTATACATTATAGATAGCAAAATAACTCGAACTGAAGCAAAGTAACTGCTATGGAAACCTCAAGTTATCTAGTTTTTATTAACAAATGTTAGTTCCTTTCTTGTAGCGATAACTTTGGTTACCTTTTTCTGTAATTCATATTTCAGAATGACTTTTGGTGTTTACTGATCGGTCGTTTTCGCTTTTAGTCTGCTAATTTCTCTATGTCCCAAGGTCGTATTTCGTTGCTGTGTGTATGCGGCTTCCCTATTTTAATTCGTTTATTGTCAAACATCAAGTTTCTTGGCGCTTCTGTCTCATTTTGTTCCACAGTGTAGGGGGAAATGTTGGAGTGTTGTGTGTCAGTCGTCATAGCACCAAGTTTGCAATAGGTTCCGTTCGTATTATAATAATCTCGGTCATTCGTGACTAAAAATTACTGTACGCTCAGCTGAACCCAAATTTTGTAGTTTTTTGTACCAGGATCTCAAATCTGCATATTCAGGCATGTTGTTTGATTAGTGGGAGCCTGTAAATAGTAGTATTTAATTAAATGTTTATTTTTTTATAGTTGAACTCTTATTCTTCGGAACGAGAACAAAAGCTGGAGGAACTTCTTAGACGTGAGGTATCAACACCAGAAAATCAGGTTTCTGAGATCATTCCTCCCACGTCTTCCGACCGAGATTCCACCAATTCTTCTTATCGAGATTTTATCGAAACTTTGAAAGTTAGATCTAGTTCGACGAACTCCCATGTAACTAATCCCATCCCAACTAGTGAATCCAGCGTGAAACGAAATCGAATGACTGCTGTAAATAAATATGAAGATAGTACCAGTAAGTGATTATAAAAAGCCATCCATCTATAAGCACCTTTTATTGATACATTTTCTATGATATTCCCGAGGTTTAGTTTAATGGTGTTATTAATTGCTAATATTAGTCAGTCAGTAACAACGTGGAACTTCGTACGTACGTACATCAGTTCGAGTTGCCATACCACATTAGCACAGAGATTCAGTTATCGATTCAAATCCCATAGTGGTAGAGGTACTGAAAGTATAAGTAGAGATAGGGGACATTAAGGTTTGGTGATGTTATTAAAGGAGTATAGTCCAGTGGAATAAATTAGGAAAGAAAATAAAGGACATGAAGAATTCAGAAGATTAGAGTTTGAGAGAACACAAAAAGTGGATGCACCTGCGCCATTGCAAACGATTTTGAGCCATGTCATTCAAGGTCTCTAACCATCGGTTGCTATCATTTCGCGGTCCCCAACCAGGTAGTCTACACCTACCAACATGACCCAGTCCACTTGTCAGTGACTTCATGGATTTGTGCCATGTTTTGGTCTGGCCGCCCCTAGCTTTCTTCCAACCTATTCCTACACCATAAAACATAGCACATCGGGGCAGTCGGTGGTCGGGCATGCGCAACACATGTCCCAGCCATCTCAACTGTTTAAGTTTCACTACTTCCTCAATTGATTTGCCATCCTTACCTAGTACCCGTTTCATAACAACTGCATTACTTACTCGGTGGTCCCAGGATATACGAGCGATGTTTCGAAGACACCTATGGTCAAATACTAGTAACCTACGAATATACTTAATTGCTAATATTAAGTATGAAAACGAACTTCACAAAACAAGTAAGAAAAAGAAACAGATTAACTAAGTAGATTTTAGTTGTAAATAAGTTTTAAAGATTAACAAGAAATTGACTGATATAATATAGGAAGTAAAAGACGCTTCAAAGTAGTTTCTGAATTTTCGCTCTGTACCTTATCAAACGATTTGAACTTGTTCTTTTCTTTCACTTTCAGTTCATTTACACTATTCTTTTCTTTCAACATATAAATGATCTGCTTCAACACTTATTTGTGTTGCATACCCATTCGTCTTACTATGACCATTTTGAAAGCTATGTTAGGTATTAGAAATATCTTTTTTATATGGGTGCTCGACAATATCGCAGAATAGAGTTTACGAATCATCTATATCATAAACAAAGGGAATTCAGTTTATCGATTTAAATTATTACGCTCCATTATATAGTGTTCGTCTGTGACTAATTAGTTGTCCTCCTACCGATATGCAAGTTACCCGCATCTTTAGCAAAATAAGCGTATATATATATATATATATATATATATATATATATATATATATATCAACAACTGAATTGTGTTACACTATATCCTGCATAATTAATATCCATCTGTTCAAGTTTTTACCTAAATCGAATTACTTTACATTACCTTATAAACTCTAATATATATACCATTTTGGAGTCAGTTCGATTTTTTTGTGTTTGTTTGTTCGTTACCTACTTCGGTTTCAGCAACCGGGCAGTATCCCAGCCTTCACACAAATCGAATGATTTATATGGCGTAAATCTATTTGGTGCCTCCTTGTGCCAATATTTATGTGTTTATATAAATCAATTTGTTCGTTATGCTTATCTGTAATAATACTGCCTTAATTTGAACGGGTCTTAAGGTATTTTCTAAGCAGATCAGACTAATTGAAGTATACTTATATGTAGAATTTTGTTTAGTTTATTTTAGTCAGCATAAATTCTCAATAAAAATCAATTTTATTGACATCGTTAAATACAATCCAGTTCATTCGTTAGTACCGAGTTTTCACAACTACGTCTTTTATTTACTGTACAATCAAATTCACCGGAATAAAGCACCTGAAATTCGTTGTAACCAGAAGACCATCTTGGCTTCTCTAAATCTCCATGTATAAATATTTATGAATGAGAAATGGTTCTACGGTAAGTAAATAATTAGCTTAGGTTAAGAAACTTATATTCATGATGATAGACTGTGCAACAACAGTTAACTTCTAACACTGACAGGCATAAAATGATCGATTGAAAATGGCTTCATGGATGAAGAATGTCAAACAGTTAGAGAACATTTAGTTTACAATAAGTCTATGAAATACTAGAAAGAGAATTGTTCTCATGAGTGGCATTTATAATACACACATCTCATATGTACTATACTTTTAATTACTCGTGTATCCGTTATATAATCAATGCAATTTTAGCACATTAAATGATTATGTATATGGTTAGCTTTATGTCACCCGGACAGTATCACAGCCTTCACACAAATCAGTGATAACTACTACTGGCCTCATTGTTATTGTGTGATGCATATGTATTTGGTGCCCCCTTGTACCAATGTTTGTGTGTTCAAATAAATAAATGATTCAGCGAATACACTTTCTTGGAGTTGCTCAGTTTTATTCTTTATATTGTATGATTTTTTTAACTGAGTAAAAGTTCTACACATCTCTATCAAAGCTAATAGTCGTCGACCATTATGATAAAAAACAAGAACAAATCAACTCATCTACCAGGTGAATCGGGTGTTAGCCATACTCGAAGTGTGAATTCCAGTGACACTGTACGGTCGTCCGAATCTAGTTAGGTGTGGCGGGATTTGAACTTAGAACCTAGTGGTTGGAAGTCGAACGCCTCAACCACTAGGACAGCTATTCATTTCTTTAATGTTTTATATGTGTTTGGTAGATTTTTGTTCAGATGAAGAGAAAAACATTCGCCACTCTGCATATCTCGTATGTATTTTTTTCTTAGTTTCTAAACAACCAAAATGTGGCAAGCTGAATAGTAGTTGTAGATGTTCAATACAGACGAATAACTGTAAACAAATGTTTGATTCTATTCCTCCAAGAACTGCTCTACCGAAAAACTATTTGAATGAGAAATCATCGCATATGAAAAGCTTGCAGGTCGAAACAGTCTCATTATCACCGACTAAGCATAAGTTCTGTTCAGCTGGCTCTCATAATACTCGTAAGTAGTATTATTGAAATATTGTGATGGTTTTATTGTTATTACATATATTCGTGTCTCAAATTGTTCCCTTCATTGAGGTGTTTACCCTTTAATTAAAAAGCACCTTTTACTGGGGGACTAAATGGTCTATTATGTTCACTATTATGACTTATTTACAGAATAAAAGAGTGTAAGTCCTCGCCTTTAGGTCGCATAATTCTCATGCGTGCTAATGATATCCATCTACCTAAACTAAAATATGTTGTGTACGTTTCAGAATTGTGACCTATCGATTGAAATGCTACTGATTTATCGCTTCACCTATTATTGTAGACTTAATTATGCATATGCTTACAGTTAAATCTACCGAAGCATCCGACCACACAGCCGAAGTGTGCATGAAAATCCAGGTTCAAAACACATTTTATCTATTGTTACAAAATACAAGTAAATTGGTTAGGAACCTCAACTTGTGAGGTATCTGTGGTTGTAAACACGTTTGTGTATATGAAATGAGAAACACTTTCTTCAATAATTCTATTAAAATTAATTACAACATGGCGTGAATTACAGCCGTTGGTCAATGATGACTAACAACAATCAAATGAAGATTAACAGTCACAATTGATTGATCACTGGGTGACCAATGTCATGCGTGTCTAGTCCTTATTATTAGTGCAGATCGAATGCTATCGATCATGTTGCAATGTGGCCACCAGTCTAGGTGGCTCGACACCGCGGGCACTATTGTAAGGTTAGATGGTGGTTGGAGGTGGTCGACAGGAAACCCTGGACCCGGGTTTCGTGCTACTTGACACTCGTCAGCAAGGTGTACCTGTAATCTTTGAGGGAACTGGTGCTCCCTGGCGGATTCGATCCCGTGTCACTCAGCTTCACAGTCAGAGACGTTACCACTGAGCTATCCGGGCGGCGACCGACACCTTGCTGACGAGTGCCAAGTAGCACGAAACCCGGGTCCAGGGTTTCCTGTCGACCACCTCCAACCACCATCTAACCGAAGATTAACAGTAGAAAATATGGACTCTGTTGCATTTTATTAAACTTTCATGGAATGCAAAAATTTGGATTGTAACTTTTAAGGGGTAAGTACTTGGGAATATTAACCGAGAACAATTGCACGCTACAGCTTACTTGCTCAAATGCTGTGAGAAATGATACTGATTACCGAATATTCGTTAGTAGTATAGCTTAACACACGAAAACGGTTTAAGTAGGAGGCCAATAGATGGTGTAAGCGAAATTAACGGAATTGCCGAGACTATAATTTGTGGACGACTTTTGAGCGGATTATCAGTAATCTTGAGAAATTTCAGCCAATCAGAAATCAGTTGGTATCGAGTAAAAATATATTATATAAAGCCAAATAATTAGTGTGGATACACTTCTTCAAGATGGTTTAAAAACTTTTCAATTTTAGAAAGAGATTCTGATGTACTGAAATCGTAATGCCTACGATACAGGAACTCACCCATGTGACTATAATAGTCGACATCTGGAGCCACGGAATTAATCTAATTTAAATTTAAAATAAATTTTGGCCGATTATAATAACGTGGTGACATGTTTTTGTTTTTGTTTAATGCTAGATTTTACTGTTTCTGCCAAATTTCCTAGGCTTTAAACTTTCTGAAATATAACTAGAAAAATCTATATCATAGACCAATTATAGTTTTACAAATAGAGGCCTAACACATTTCATTTCAATGTTTGTTCTGTATAATCACTCGCCCTCAACTTCATCATTTGTAACATAATCATTTCACAACTCGATAATGAATTTTGTCAGTCGTACTTCCAAACTTCTTTTAATTTTTTTGATAAAGGTTTTTATGAATCTGAGTTACCAAAAATGTCTCTTCATCAAGATACGGAATTTCAGGTTCCTGTTCCTTTTTCAGGAAATGTGTCAACCCGTCCTAGAACCGGTGTGAATGTTACTCGTTGTCCTGAAGCACTACAAAAACGGTAAAAATGTTTTTGGTGTATATACATCATGTTTTGCAGACTTACATTTTAAAATTGATCTTTGTAACTTATCCAATTCTATGGTTGCCACTTTTTATTTAACCAGTAACTGTTGTTTTGACATTACTATTTTATTGGTCAGTAAAAAGTTAATCGATTCACTAGGTTATTTTCTTTTTTGGATTAAGTCATTAACTATGTTCATTCAGATAATGGCTTTCACGTTATCAAAATCTTTTCTTAAATACGTTATAAATTTCAATACCGAGATTACTTTCCAATATGTGATTCTACTAACTTGAATAGGTTTTTAAGTTTAATAATCATTGCGATTTTTATTGTCATTTTCTTTACTAGTTTATTTCCTTCGAAAGAGCGTACTGTCCCTTATGTAAATAGATCAAAGACTATCTGTGATCATGTTACGGAAGCTGCGCGTCTCGATATAAAACTGAGCACACAACGTGTAAAGCACATGCTTGCTGTTGATTCTGACGATGATGATAATGATAATAATTCTGATGAGGATCAATGTTTTTATACAGATGATGGGGTTAATTCCTCAGTCTCTTCGTTTGAAAGAATTCAAAAGCCAACTGTAAGTATTTGGAGACGTTTAGAAGCTGTAGGGGCTAGTGATTCGGAGTTAGAAGAGAATAATGTTTGTATCATTGAAGATATCAAGGTTGGTCGGTTTATTTAACATATTTTATAAAGTATCATTCTAAGTATTTTGGTTGGTTAAAATCAATCACAATGGCGTAACTACATCCACTCTTTATTTTCTTAGATCTTGAGTTTCAAAATTATTTTATTTCACAAATTAATTCTTTCTTTTAAGATATTATCTTCGTCCGGTCTTTTTTATTGTCACTGGTGCCACTATTACTTCTACTAATTTAGAATTCATCTTGACGATCTCATCTCCGTTCAGGTGTATTATGGCAACTTTGGCCTATAAACATATGTGTCAGATTCTACGTTATTTATGACTGACTAACTGAATAATCAAACAAATATTTTTAGATCGTGTATGAATTATTATTATTTTTTCATTTCAGTAAATTAAAAGTCAACCTTTTAGATGTATCTAGGCACATAATGTAGCACTTAAAGAATCCAACTTGTTTTATTGCAGGACGGTTTTTTTTATAATTTTGGTGTTACTTTTATGTCAAAGAAATACGTCTTAGGTACTCTCAACAAGTCAAATAAAGGTTATGAAGGGATATTTTATACAAATGTAGTAAAAATGTCAATTAATTTTGTGAGTAGAAACTGTTCACTTTCATCCAGTCAACTAGATTTCAAATTCACTCGTCTTTTTTCTGAATGAAGATATTTCCAACTATTTTTCTGCTTTTTTTTTGGTGATTTTCGTGCTGTGATCTAGCTTTACCATGATAAATCTATTTTTCTTGTGACGTCGAATAAAAAGGAAATAAATTTAACCTGCCTTTCATCACCAACAATTTTGACTTTCTATATTGGGGTTCCTATAACTACTAGAAGAATTAAGGTGTACTCTCAAAAAAATAGTCGATTTGTCTTATCTTCGTTGTCAACCATCGGTTTGCGATGTGATAACTAAAACATTCAATTTTTCAGAGCTTAAGCATTAGTTTCATGTAACTCATGAGTTTTAAATAGTAATTTTTCGATTTTACAAACTGTTTATTTATTTAGGATGAAAAACCTGTGATTGTGGATAATGTATCTCAGCATTGCTCAACTTCTTGGAAGTATAATGCCAACATGAACCATTTTCTTCATTCTGGCTCAAATAATTTTATGGGAGACATTCGTGCTAAGAATGAATTTCGAAATCTCATTTATAGTGATCCTTTACGTTTCGCTTCCGTACACAAACGTCAACAAAAGCTATTTCATAGGTAAACTTTGATTTCAAGTTCTATCGCATATGAACATATTTAGTTCTATGTTCACAGTGTTTTAAAAAAAACTTAAACTGAAATATTATTTATATTTTTAGAGTAGGAAAGAAACCTTTCAAATTCTTGGAACCACAAGTAAACAGTATGGAAAAGATGGAAGTTCACGAAAAAAACGCGACAAACAGAGGTAGTTCACTTCATTTTCGAGAGAAGATTGATAAAGAATCACTATTTGTCAAATCGAATGCTCCCGGTAATACCAACATTCAAGCAGTTAATGTGAGTTAGATTATGGTAAATAATATCAAATGGATCCGCATTGTATTGACTTTCACAATTTATTTGATTTCCTTTTTTATGCTTATTAGGTGGAATGTACAGACTCAGGAGATCGGAGTTCATTATCACATACTGCCTGTTCCATCAGGACGAAAGCACAAGAGTTATTTATAACAGAAGATAAATCTGATTCCCAGGCACTCCCAACGAATCATCAAAAGATTAATAATTTTATAAATAAAACTATAAACCCTTCTCAACTGAGGCTAACACCCGCTGCACTTAATCTCCAGTTAGCCGCTGAAATGAATTATCTTGAAACACTTTCTGGTTCAATGCAGCATATTGCTGATATGGAGTCTCTTCGTCAGATTACCGCTGCTCAAGCCGAATGTGTTAGTCTAGCACAGTTGCTTAAGGTGAGTAATATTTTTTATATATATCTGGCCAAAATGACATCTGAAAGAGTCACATTTTGAAATTTTGGTTTATTTGAGTACAAATACGCTGAGTGCATGATGTTACTCAGGATGCTACTGTTTGTCGTTCTTTATTCAACTCAGCCATTGTATGTACTTTTCTGGGAACACGATCTGTGTTGCCATTTACATTAATTAGTTAGAACAGATTAGTTGACGGTTAACGACTACTCATATCTTACTGAACTTGAATAACAAGTTAATTTGTACAATTTTTTGACACAAGTGTAAAATAGCATTAAATAGAATTAAATTACATATCAAAAATTGTTGCCTTAAAAATAATACATCCCATTTTTCAAAAAGATTAATCTGTCATCATTAGTAATAATGAAATCACGTTTAATGGGTAAAGAAAACTACCAACATTGAATTCGTGTATTATTACAATATTTCTTTATTATGTACCCCTAAATTTTATTCTTTTTAACATAATCAAGGCTCGTGAATTGCAGATATCATCGAAAATTAGTGATCAGATGTTGGAGAAAGAAACACAAGGTGCATTTGTTAACCCTAATGAACCAGGTCGTCTGATTTCTGGAGTACATTCACCCCAGTTTGAAAGCGTACTAAAAGCTGCTGAAGAATTCGATAAGGTATTTTCCCATAATTTTTCTACTCTCATTTACCAGTTCGTATATATTTGTGTATATACTGTGAGAGATAAGTTTTTTTATACTTATTTTAAACAGTATTGAGCTTAGTGTGATATACGTCATTAGTGTTGAGACATAGGAGAGGATAAAAAATATGATGGATTGCGTAACGTTCATATCCTAACCCACCGATGTTGACTTGAGCAGTTGGACGTTGTCACTAGTCCGTCCCTGCGCTACTATACAATGTAAATCAACGTCAAGTGCTTAACCATTGTGATTGACATGCAATTTATTAACATTGACAACATGGATACAACTAGACGATATGAACTTCCTAGATGAGCTTGCTCTCCTATCCATTACACATCAATAAATGCAAATGAAGACAACTAGTATGGCAGCAGTCTCTGCATCAGTAGGCCTCAACACACACAAGAGCGAACGCAAGATCCTGAGGAACAACACAGCGAACACCAACCCCTAAATGCCCTGAGACAACCAAGGGTGAGGAGAGTCAGCTCTCCCTCTCAAAATATTCTCACATTACCACGCGTTTACAGCCGCTGTTGGGGAAGCCCTACACACTGTCTTCTTGTGTCGAGGGTGGTATTTACAAAATTGAGACGACGGAAATCGAATGTCCTGTGCTTTGACCGGGCAGGTGGACACGTAGGATCCACCGCTGATTGGAGGCCGATGCTCCACGAGGGGGAAAGGCTTATTTAAGTTAGCAAGGTAATCCAAATTTCCTCTGGACCACAAACTCCACCTTTTTCCCTAGCATATTATATATATTTGTCTACTATAATTCGTTTAATTCTAAATTTTTGTTTTCCTCGTTTAGATCGAACGTCGTCTTAGTGTAAGGACTTCACACTTGGATGCCATTTCCTCCTGTTCTACTGAGTCACCATCTGTCGACTCAAATATTACAAATGAAGCAAATGTTCATAAGTCTTTAAATGGATCTATTTCAGGTACTGTATCTTGTAAAGATATGTTGTTTGATAAGATGAGTATCATGTCGAAATAGGTTTTTTTAAAAATATATTATGTTTTAGTTAATGGTTTGTTCGTACTCGGTTTGTTAAACTTATTACGTAAGTCAGTAAATTTGTCAACTATTTCTTTTTCGACAAATCTTTTTAAAATCGTTTTATATATTTCCCTTATAGAATCCAGTGCAAACAAACAACAATTTTCAACAGGAAGCGATAAAACAATTTCAAATGATAACGTCATTAAATCGATTTCAGGAGGTGTTGTAACGGCTTCTGATTCGTCTAATGAACCTTGTCATCCTATCTCTACTGGCACTACTGTTGCTTCTATGACTACAACTGACAAAGTTTCTGAACCAGGAAAATTGACTGTCATGCCATCATCATCGCCTAGATTAAATAATTTCATCAATATTGAAAAAAAGTTAGAAGTAGGTAGATTTTTCTCACTTTAGCAAATATTCGATGTTTTAAAAAAATTTAATTCAAGAAGGTTGTTTTATTATTGAAATATATATTAACCATTAAGTTTCTTATGTAAATTATGATTACATGTGACCTTTTAGAAAACTTTTTTCTAAATTTAATGATGGTTAAGAGTGATTTTCTTAGACATTGTCTCTTTCACTTCTGTTGTTGGACGTTTAAAGTTACGCCTAACTTCACGATGTTTTGGAAGTTTTTAACTATTCGTATTAAGTATAATAATTAATTTATAGCATTTAAAATTTTTGATAATTCGATGGTTAATTAATGCTTATTTAAGTGAGGCTTTTCTAGTTTTGTGGTTCTTACTCGTCTTTTCTTAATCAATTAATTCTATTCAATTCCACTTAATACAGAAAAAGAAGAAAGCGTCAGTAGATTTTAGTGATGATGATGAATCTATGAAGTCATATAGTAAAGTTACCAAAGAAGAACTTCAGAGAAAGTCGAATGATCAAGTGCTAACTAAACGGAAAAAGTTGAAACGATATTCGCGAAACGAAAAACCACATATAAAATCGACAGACATTCCTATGTTAAATCTATGCGTCGTCATGTCGCCTAATAGCTCTTGCCAAACTGAAAGGAATGAGAAATTCGATCAAGTGAAATAGTAAGTTATTTATATTTTAAAATGTATATATTACTGGTGATCATCAGGGTTAGCAGACATTCTGACGTAAGTATTTCTTACGATCACTCTTAATACATTGATATTTAACAATCTCATAGTTGTACCATTTATCTTCGGCTATCGGCCACGCCCCCAAATGCCCTGGTACGGCCGAGAGTACAGAGAGTCCTCTCTCCCTCTCGAAATGCTCTCACATGGCCACGCATATATAGCCTCTGCCAAGGAAGTCATACTCACTGCCTTCTCGTGGCGGGGGTGTTGTTTACGAAATGGAGAGGATGAAAAGCGAATGTCTGGCGCTTTAACCGGATCTCAAACCAATGGTGCACATGGGCTCCAGTATCTTGAGGTAACAAATGGCGTATGAACCAATCGTTAGTCACCGGCTACCATGGGACTACATCTCATTACGATGCTCTACTGCCTTGTGGGTCAGACCTTTAGACCAAAGGCTCGGGGTGTGGCCTCCTAAGAAAACCTCCTGCTTCGGTTTGGGCACCCGGGCAGCATTACAGCCCACACATAAATAAAATTTTGTGTGGCGTACATATATTTGGTGCCCTCTTGTACCAATATCTATGTGCTAAAATAAATAAATAATAATAAATCGGCCACGCCACTGAACAATTGAATGGCAGCTTATGTCTCAAGCTTTTTTGAAAGAATATTGTGATAAGCTACAATTGTTCCGTCGTAGATGTGCGGTTCGCTTTGGAATTTTTCTATTTCCTATGACTTGGTGGTGATTTGTTGATCAGAAGAATATGTTTCGTAGTGTTAGGATTTCCTGGATAGAATTTGTGAAGACTATGGCTTTTAGCAAGAACAATAATAATAGCGTCACAAACAAACCATCCAGCTCATTGGCAATCAAACCACTGAGAAATTTTAACCATGTTACTTGAATGTTTAGATGGAAACAAGTAATAGGATGTTAGAATTCAGACATTCATCTTTAAGCCACTTGATCACATCTTTCTGTAATCCATATTTTAATTATTGCTTGCTATGTTTGTTATTTATCGATTTATTCTCTCGTAATTTCAGTGCTTTGAATAAGCGTGTAGCGGCTTTACAATCTAGGCGTAGGAAAGCTGAAGAGCTTTTAGCGCTTTCTAAAAATATTGAACTTGAAGAGGTCGAAGTTGTTCGTTTAGAACGTGAAGCCTTGAACGTAAGTAGTGCGTTTCCTTATTGCGATAACTTTTTAAGAATCTCATCATGCTCTTTTTCATATACTGTACTGATTCATATTAATTGTGTGATGGTAATAATTTGTATTAAGCCTTCGGCATCAATGCTGTAGCCTTATTACAACGTTCGAGTTATTCGTATTTCACAAATGTAATTACTCCCACCATCAATTCTTATGTTACCCAACTATTATCAAAAGAAGTTATGTTTTATTGTATGCAACCTAGTCTTATTTATCGACCTATCGTTTTTTTAGATACATCCAATTTTATTTTTACGTTCTTAGGGACTATGAACACACAAGGTTTATTATTATTTTAGTAAATTTTGCCTACTGCTTAAGCATAATCTCCTATACCATGAAATATCGCGTTGTAAAGTGTGTGGTGTAATTTTTTTTTAGTTGTGTAAATTTCTTCTTAGGGTTTGCTTTTTGTTTTTCTCTTCATGTCTTACTAGGCTATCCAAAGTAAACGTTTAGCTTTGCATGAAAATCTGTCCCAGGTATCAAACGATAATGAAGCGAAAAAGTATTCAACATCTTGTCATTGGTCGAAGAATAGTGGCTTTAAACATTGGAGGTCGAATTCTCACTCACCCGTTTGTCAACGTTCCAATTATTCGCAATATAGTGATGAACTTGGTTTAGAAAAGGCTGGTGATGACAAAACTAATTCTGAGCAATTTCCTACAGCTTCATTCGGCAGAAGTTCTAGCTTATTAAAATGCGATAGAACCAAGTATATTATTTCATTAAAATGAATTTATTATAGTCTAAGATACGTTACATACTTATTTACGCCTGTTAACCCTCGTGGAGGCGCATCAGCCTCCCACCAGCATCTTTCGTCACACTTTGTTCTGGCCTCTCCTTTTCAGTTGTCTTCGATCGCTATTCATTCTTTTGATACCCGATTTCAATTCTCAACGCCATGCTTTCTTCAGTCTTCCCCTTTTACTTTTGTCTTCAGGATTACAAGTTAGGCATTTCCTCGTGTTGCAGTCTGATGATTTCCGTAATTTATGACCTTTCCACCTCCAGAGTGTTCTCCAAATTTCCTCTTTAGATGGGAGCTGGCTTTATTCTCGGACACAGTAGGTTGTTACTAATGACATCCGACCAACGGGTCGGGAGTATCTCGTGTAGAGAGTTGTTTATAAATACCTGTACATTTTTGATGAAGGTTGTAGTAGTTCTTCAAGTTTCAGCTCAGTACCGTAGAACTGTCTTGCTGTTTGTGTTGAAACTTCTGACCTTGGTGTTGATTGATAGTTGTTTTGAGTTCCATATGTTCTTCAGTTATGGGAATGCTGCCGTTGATTTGTCAATCCTTGGCCCTAACATCTGCATCATATGCTCCTTGTTTGTCGATGATACTGTCCAGATACGTGGAAGTTTCCACATCTTCCATAACTACCATGTATGATTGTTATATATTTATTTAGACACATAAATATTGGTATTAGAAGACACCAAATACATATGCGTCTAATCCACAAGGCAGTGGACCAACGTTGGGAGATGCAGTCCCATGGTAGCCGGTGACCTACAATAGGTTCATACGCCTTTTGTTCCCTTGGTATCCTGGATCCCATGTGCACCAATGGTTGGGAATCACGGTTTCCCAACTTCCCTAGATGGATCCTACGTGTCCACCTGCCCGGTCAAAGCACAGGACATTCGATTTCCGTCGTCTCAATTTTGTAAATACCACCCTCGACACAAGAAGACAGTGTGTAGGGCTTCCCCAACAGCGGCTGTAAACGCGTGGTAATGTGAGAATATTTTGAGAGGGAGAGCTGACTCTCCTCACCCTTGGTTGTCTCAGGGCATTTAGGGGTTGGTGTTCGCTGTGTTGTTCCTCAGGATCTTGTGTTTGCTCTTGTGTGTGTTGAGGCCTGTTATAGTCAAGGAAGTTGATGTACAGTGACGTGTTATTTATTCATCTTTATTTGAACACATAAATATTGGTAGAAGAGGGCACCAAATATATGTACGCCACACAAAATTTTATTTATGTGTGGGCTGTAATGCTGCCCGGGTGCCCAAACCGAAGCAGGAGGTTTTCTTAGGAGGCCACACCCCGAGCCTTTGGTCTAAAGGTCTGACCCACAAGGCAGTAGAGCATCGTAATGAGATGTAGTCCCATGGTAGCCGGTGACTAACGATCGGTTCATACGCCATTTGTTACCTCAAGATACTGGAGCCCATGTGCACCATTGGTTTGAGATCCGGTTAAAGCGCCAGACATTCGCTTTTCATCCTCTCCATTTCGTAAACAACACCCCCGCCACGAGAAGGCAGTGAGTATGACTTCCTTGGCAGAGGCTATATATGCGTGGCCATGTGAGAGCATTTCGAGAGGGAGAGAGGACTCTCTGTACTCTCGGCCGTACCAGGGCATTTGGGGGCGTGGCCGATAGCCGAAGATAAATGGTACAACTATGAGATTGTTAAATATCAATGTATTAAGAGTGATCGTAAGAAATACTTACGTCAGAATGTCTGCTAACCCTGATGATCACCAGTAATATATACATTTTAAAATATAAATAACTTACTATTTCACTTGATCGAATTTCTCATTCCTTTCAGTTTGGCAAGAGCTATTAGGCGACATGACGACGCATAGATTTAACATAGGAATGTCTGTCGATTTTATATGTGGTTTTTCGTTTCGCGAATATCGTTTCAACTTTTTCCGTTTAGTTAGCACTTGATCATTCGACTTTCTCTGAAGTTCTTCTTTGGTAACTTTACTATATGACTTCATAGATTCATCATCATCACTAAAATCTACTGACGCTTTCTTCTTTTTCTGTATTAAGTGGAATTGAATAGAATTAATTGATTAAGAAAAGACGAGTAAGAACCACAAAACTAGAAAAGCCTCACTTAAATAAGCATTAATTAACCATCGAATTATCAAAAATTTTAAATGCTATGTGAGAGCATTTCGCGAGGGAGAGCGGACTCTCTGTACTCTCGACCGTACCAGTGCATTTGGGGGCGGTAGGTTCATTGGAGCTGGCCTATTCGACGCATCTGTTCCTCTTTTCTTGAATCTGAGTGATCGTTTTGCTTTCTTCGTCTTTGATCGTTCTCTCTAGTTTGCTGTATTTGCTTTTCAGTTTCTTCATTTTGTCACATAGTTTTCTCATTTTCCCTTCTCTTACAGCTTTACCCATTATCGTTGATAGTTCTTCCACGTATTTCTGCTTGTCGGCTTTAATGCTCCTCTTCAGTATTTTGTTCACTTCTGTGCATTCGTGTGACCTGGTCCTCTATGCTCTTGTACGACTGTCGTTCATTGCTGTTTTCTTGTTCTTCCTTCCTTCATTATTGCCTAAGATATCGATAGAAATCCATTCTTTTTTTAGGGGTTGTGGAGATTGTTAAATTTTTGATTGAGATCATGAACCGATTGAGGTTAGACTCCAGGTTTTCAATGGTGGCCTAACATTAATCGGTTCATGATCTCAATCAAGAAATGCATTCGTTGTGATGATACTTCATGCCACCCAGCACCTCCTTGGACGTTGGAGTTAATACTTCCTTGATTCCTTTGCAGTTGTTTTCCCTGGTGGTTTCCTCTTCTTTGAATAAATCTGTCAAGGCTTCGAAGCTGCTGTTGAGTTATTCTGAATTCGTTGAGTTTGTCAGTATGTAGAAGAAAGGCTGTATTAAACTTGTGTACTGCGGTTTCTCCAGTTGTCCAGTACATCTTTAGTTTCATTTTCGTTTTGGCAACCACCAGGTGACGATCTGAATCTATATCATCTTCCCTCTTGTTTCTCACGTCTTCTATTGGCCATCTGAATTTTTTTTGATGCAAATATGATCGATTTGATTCTCTGTAATGTTATCTGATGAGACCATTGTAGCTTTGTGTGGTAGTATTATGTCGCTTATAGACGCTTTGTTGAATGCACACGAAGTTTCATATCTGTCACCATCCTCGTTCCTGTGTCATAGTCAATCCATATCGTCCTATGATATCGTCGTACTCGGTGTTGTCCATCCCGACTTTGGCGTTTAAATCTCCCATCAGCTTCTCATAAAACTGATCTTTATCGGCGTCGTTGCCATCATTAATGAGTGCATAACATTAGATAACATTCATTGTAATTCCCTCCTTTGTTTTGAATGATACTTTGATAATTTGGGATCCATGAGATTTTTATCTTATAAATGCTTTTATTGCTTTTTTGAAAAGCATTTTCTTCATGACCAGAGTACAACAGGACTTCTCCCGAAGTTAATCGTTTCTGTCCAGTTTGGGCCCAATGGGTTTCACTGATTCCGAAAACTGTCAATTTGTATCTCTTCATTTCCACAGCTATTTGATCGGTCGTCATGGTCTTTCACATTGTCCGAACATTTCATTCCCCTGTGTAAATTGTTGCTCTGGTTGTTAGAAGGGGCATCGGCCTCGTGACCTCCGAAGAATCTCGACTTTCATCATGAGGCGTCATAATTGTTCTGATAGAAGATCCTTCTCGCAAGACAGAGTTTAAATGGTTTAAATTGTTTTTTCTGATTAGCGCTTTTTTTTAGTAAGTTTGTTTTCTATAGTATGGGGTTGCCAACCTGATGCCCAACCCTCCTTTATCCGTGTTTTGTACCGGCAGTAACCCTAGAAGGGCTACAGACTGTGTTAAGATACGTTAGGGGAAATAAAATACCATTTTTAATTAAAAATTGGTTTTTCTGTTCTTCTGCCATAAATGGTTGTTAAATGTTTGAAACATTCATTTCCGGTAATTCTGGCTTTTAGCGAATTTTATTTCATATACATGTCTCTTAGTCACCAGCTTATAGCGTAAATTCTTCTGTCACTTTAATGTAACTCGTTTATTATGTAAACATTTTATTTGTATGATTATTACAAATTCTGGTGATAATACTCGGTTGCCGTAACTGAGATTGGTAGGAGTTATGTCCACACATTTCAAAGCCAAATACTTTATCCTCTAAGCAACTACTTAACTGTAGTTTACTTGATGTTTTATCAAATTCCGTTTTCAATAAACTGTCATTTTTGGGAGGACGTTTGACTTTGATTAGGATTTCGTTACGCACGAAAATACTCAGAATGTTCTCTGGAGTTTCATTGAATTTCATTGGACTTGTTAATGTAGCAAATCAAATGGCTCTGATATTTATGTTTGGATATTTTCATCCACCTAGTTTAATTACTGCACGAATGTGTGCCCATAAAATGTTTTCATTTTGTGAAGTTGAAATTTTTACGCATGTTTGTAATATCAACTTAGCAACACCTACCTTTATCTTAGCGTATATTTTACCTCTGATTTTAATACATAGCTCAAATACTGCTTCCGAATGCTCTACTGCTCGGACAGTGTCTACTGCTACAGATTTAAAATATTGCAAGTCCGACTCGGATTCAAACCGGTCAGTTTCACATACTGAAAAACATCATTCCAACATTTCACTTGGTAATAATTATAAATTAATACCAAATCGACACAATGAGAACTGTACATCAAATTTATTAAGCACTGAAAATGATGTTAATATTAGTCGAGTTTCCAAAGTTTCAAATTATTTTCCAAAACTTGATATTGGAGGTGAGTTTTATTATTTTTTAAATGGATAGTGCTACTGATAAAACTTACCGTTAAGATTTTCATAGTATAGATCACCGACTGATCCTAGTCGAACAACTATTGAAAAATAGGACGTGCTGGACAGCTGTTTCGTCCTAGTATATAAAAGTGCACATCCATCAGGAATCATATCCATTACCTTCAGTTTTTGTCGTGAGCTTTTAATCTTCAGACCATTGACCTGGGATCCAATGTTGTGTATGTCTAACCTCAGTTAGTTCTAAATCATCTTTAGTTGCCTTCGGTGGATAACAACCTCACATTCAGCATGGCATTTTTCTCTGTAAATAGGTTGCTTACTACAAATGTCAATATTTTGATTTCTTAAAAAACTAAGTATTGATTATGACCACCTTCAAACTGTGATTGGATGTATTGATCGTATCGTTCGAATTAAGCTCTACATTGTGCTTCATCAGTGATAATTCCTCTCGTGTTTATCGTGTCATTAATATGGTCGTTTATCTGTTATTTTTGACTGTAGCTGAACAAATACCGCTTCGGTTTTCTCAACATTCACTGACGGCACTCACCAGAGTTGCTTGTGCAAATGATTCCGAATTTTTTCCATAAGTAAATTTTCGTTTCTAGTCATTCAGTCAACTACAACCTAAGACCACACACATACGCATCGGTCCAAGTTGCTACACCACATTAGCACAACAAGATTAACACAGAATTCATATTAGTTACTTAAATGGTAGTAGATTGTGTATAAGGATATAATGATGGAGTGCTCCCTGGATTTTAGTGATTTTCAATATGGCTCGACTTTGTGATACATTTTATCTTTATATCAAATAAATCCTAAGCAATTACATAGAGATGCTTGCGAGAAACTGTTTGCCAGACGAAGCGAACAAAAACCAAAAGACAAGATTCATAGAAAATATGGGCATTCATCTAGTATTTTGAGTTTCAAAGTTAATACCAAAGGCTCAAAATGCAATGTTGATACAAAAGTTTGTTTACTACCACCAATATGGTCAAAAACGAACAATTTCTGTCTAAAAAACCGATTTCTACGTTTAGGCTAGAAATCGGGAATCAAATCAAAAGTTTTTTCTGCGAAGTAGACAGGAGATTTTATAAAATATTTAAATTAATTAAGAAATCCTTCCCTAAGTACTTGGGTATGAGTCACCCTGTCAGTATAAGACCTAACGATACTACCCGGCTGTCTAAACTAAAGTTGGAAAAGTAAGGTTCAAACCTGAAACTCAATAGTTGAAATCGAGTCAGTCATCTACAATGTACGACCAGACACATATATGCATCGGTACAGGTTGCCACACCTGATTAACACAACAAGAAAGAATTAGTTCGTAGAAAGAAAGATATAAAGCGATTTTAATCTCTTTGTTCGAAGGAAGACATTGAGTGTATACACGTACGCTATTGTGATCGATTCTGAACCATATCACTCAGAGTCTTCAATCATTGGTTACGATAGTCACACGGACCTCAACCAAGCAGTATGCATCTAGAAACATGGGTCAGACAAGAAGTTAGTGACTTCAAGGACTAATGCCACGTTTTGGTTTGGCCATCCCTGAATGTCATCGAGCCGTCCTCAACGCTAGTCAGCAGTGAGCACCAAGGTAAACGGTGTTCAGGTACACGTAACACGTGGCCCAACCATCTCAGTCGATGAAGATTTACAACCTCACCAACTTATTTACCTTCATTCCCTAATACCCTGCGTTTAACCTCACTATTACCTACCAGATGATCCCAGCAGATGTTGGCAATATTTCTAAGACATCTGTGGTCAAATACTAGCAGCTTACCTTCCGCAGCCGTAGAGTGAAAAATAATTAACTACTGAGCAGTATACTCGTCCCTTAATTGATAGACAGATATCTCGCCTTCGCCATAGGTGACGTAAGTTGGCAAAAGCAAAACGATTTTCTTGAATCTGTACAGAGATTTCGTCAGATACCAACCATTGGGGCTGATCAGACTTCCATGATAAGTGAAGTTGTCGACACGTTCGACTACTTCGCTCCCTATCCTTAGTTCAGGTGTTGACGCTGGCCAGTCCTGATGCAACGCCTTGCATTTAGAGGGAGAGAAGCGCATTCCAAACATCCTAGCATTGTTGCTCATTGCCACCAAAACACTGCATTTCATCAGCGTCTTCACCAAACAGGACTACATCATTTGCGCATCGTAAGTCGATAAGTGGACCTCCTGGTAGGAGATCAAACCTTGAAAACTCAGTCGATGAGAACATTGTTTCCAGCAATGGGTCTACGATGAACTTCAACAGAAATGAAGATAAAGTACAGTCTTGTCGGATATCACTTGAAGTTGCAAAATCAGATGACAGTTAGCCATAAGCTCTGACTCAATAACTGGCAATGTTCAAGTAAAGAACGTTCACTAGATTTATGTACTTCTGAAGTACGCTTCTCAATGACAGACACTGACACAGAACCTCTCGGTCTACAGAGTCAAATGCTACTTTTAAGTCAAGCAAAATCGTCATTGTCAGACACTGATAAGTATGCCTGTGTTCTAGAATCTGACGAATGGTGAATATATGGTCGATACAGCCACGCTCAAATTTGAAGCGAGCCTGTTTTCTAGTATTTGCATTTCACAAGTCTTATGCGTCCGGCAATTATTGAGGTTAGTGTTTTAGATGTTATATTAGTCAAACTAATCCCTCTATCGTTGTCACAGGATGATTTTGACCCCTTAATATATGCTTGGCCAATCAGTGATTGCGATCAGTCAGATGGGATTACATCCAACTCTCAGATTTGTGCTGAAAATTTGGCCAACCTAATCGCCAGTATTTGACCACCATCCCTGAAGACCTCTGGGGTTAATCCATCTGGACCAGCTGCCCCTCCCCGTTTTAGATTGGCTAAAGCTTGTTGCACTTAAATTATAGGCGGAAGAAAGGCCTATTTCCATGTTCCATTCGAGTTGTCTGGGAATGGTGGGTAGTTGTAGAGTAGCTGAAGGCCAGTTGAACTGCTCCTTAAAGTGTTCCAACAAACGTGCTAAACGTCTGGACTGAGAGCAGATAAGAATTTCATCTTTTATCGAGATCGTCTCGCTTGCACTTGACTTCTTAATTCCGGTTTATTTTATTAGTCTGAAAAGCTGTCTTGTGTTAACTACAATCGCTGTCTTTTACGTCTCATGCTGTCGTTGCCCTCCACTGTTGTTTATGCTGTCTAACGCAGTTTTCTTTCAATAGATATAATGAAATTTACAGTTGCATTAGCATGATTACACGAGCTAAATGCACGTTTTTCTTCAGGTTTTGAATTCCATTGTTAATTGTATTGTAGCTGGAGTAGCGAATAAATAAAGACAACAAATTTAAAACATACATATTTAAATGCCTAGTAGTTTCTAATTTTCCTAATTCTTTTAAATGATATTTGTATCTTGTTTTTTTTATGGTAATTTGTCATTACCGCAGTTAAACATTTATGGTAGCAACAAGAAAGTATTAAGATTAATTCGTGATTTTTCCGGTTTGAGTAATAACTTAAGTTCATCTCTCTTTTTTCAGTTGAAACTACACCATCTTTACGTAATCTGTTAACATGTGAAGTCGCTACACCATCATTAGATCGTACTGTGACTCCAACCTCCAGACACATACGTCAGCGCTCAAATTCTCATGATTCTGGTCGTCGAAGACGTGTCACTGTCCTTAATTCAGTTGATTCAATGGATGAGGATGGTCGGTTGTTTGGCGCTGGAGATGATGAACCATTTTCTACAGTATCGGCCAATTCACATTCCGATCTCAGTGAATTAGAATCGCGAATTCAAGCTCTGAATTCCAATCTAAAAAAACAGGAAAGCATTTTATGTCGCATCAATGTAGAATATAAACGTGTACATAAAGATCGCCTAGCAAGATTAGAATCAACATTGCTGAAGCATAGACAGGTAATTTTAAATATTCCATACAGATTATATTATTTGTTTCGTCTTACCAGTTTGAATAATTTTCATAAGAACGTTTTAATCATTGAAATAACTGGATTAATTCTTATTGATTGATGGTAAGAAGTGATTATATGATTGTGTTATCTACTCATCAGCCTCAATTTGTCTTGACGCATCTTCGTGACTTGTGGAATTAATCACGTTATCTAAAGGTCTAAACATTAGTAAGGAAAAGGGTGAAAAATAAAGCTATTTATGGAAGAGATTGGATAAAGACAAAATGATTAAGCTCTATGATATGAGGCTCATTACCACAAATCACTGTTACTTATTATGATTTACACATGTGTAATATAGATTTCGTCCTACTTTTAGTTATCAAGTAGTATAAAAGAAAACGTAAAAATGTAAGAAGCTATCGAAGAGATGGAAAATCAAAAAGAACATTATTTCTTAATTGTCTAAAATTTGAAAAGTGAATTTCAGGTATAATGTTCTCCACATACACGGCACCGTCTTTCGATAGAATTATTTAAGTAAAATATATAAGGTACTTGAATTTTATCAAATTTTTCTGTCATTGTGTATGTTTAATAATTTATTTTGTTTACATTTTTTCAGCTTTGTACCGAAATCATTGCCAATATCAAAGCTGATTTAGATGCTTGCAGAGCATCTGTCTGTACAGAAGCTAATGATTCTCATTTGAAATCTATGAAAAACGTAGTCGATACCGATAATATTTCTTATGTATCACCATCAAAATGTTTGAATAAAACAACACTTGACAATTTTAACGATAACAGTATCTCTTCTGCATCGTCGAAACATATTGATAAATTGGCTTTATCTAGTCACATCCTCACTAGTAAACACTCGACAAACAATGATGAAACTGAACCAGACACATTAATTTCGGTGGCTGAAGAATTAGTATCACCACAGGATACTGATGATGAATTGAAGCAGCTCGATTTAGATGATGATATTGACCGTAGTACACCAGTTGCTGAACATTCTCCCATTTCAACGAATAAAAATACCACATATTTATCCAATCCTGACGTCAGTGCTGTGGAATCTAAGCAAACAATTAGTTCTGAAGTGTCAAAAGATAAGGGTTGTTTGTCTCCTTCAGTTCATACAGAAGCGTCATATTATACAGATTTTCAACCGAGCTCTGAAGATAACAATTCTAAATCACTAAATACTCAAGATATTTTACATAAGAACGAGATTGAAAAGGAATCCAATAACACGTCAATGAAGTTTATAATTAACTCAACTGACAAAGCGTTAACGGGACAAGTAAATCAGGCAAACAATGTGTTTTCTAATCAGTTAGCTCCCCAAAATTTTACTGATGAATGGTATGCTTTTAAAGCTTTCATTATGAATTTTTTTGTGTGTGCAATTTTATACGGATTTTTGAGGTTTTCCAATATTTTTAAGGGGTTAAACTTAGCACCACTTAATAAGAAAAAGAGAATTCAGAGAAGAAAATTTTCTTTTCGACGAAATCATTTACTTAAGCTGTATATTCGTATATATATAGTTATATGGAAAATACATGTCTATAGAAGAATAGAAAGGATTGTATCACAAAAATGGATTCGAGAATAAATAACAAATGAGGTTAACGTACTAATCAAGGGGTAAGAAAGAACATAATTTATGGGTTAGATACATAGGCCGCACAAAGCGATCATTGTCCAAACCCATCTAGGAACATTATCCGGCCTGGCTCTTAAAAGGAGAACGTAAAACAATTACTAGTTCGATACGGAAGCACTTAATTAAGTCATCTGACCCATAAATTATGTTCTTTCTTACCCCTTGATTAGTACGTTAACCTCATTTGTTATTTATTCTCGAATCCATTTTTGTGATACAATCCTTTCTATTCTTCTGTAGACATATATTTTCCATATAATTATATATATACGAATATACAGCTTAAGTAAATGATTTCGTCGAAAAGAAAATTTTCTTCGCTGAATTCTTTTTTATTCAATGACATTATGGGTTATTTTAAGTAGCACCATTTATTTTTTAACAACCTTTATTCCAAAGTATAATTTTTAATAAGCATCTATACTTTTTATTTCCGATATACATTATGCTAGAGAGAACTGTAGAATTTTGTAAACAATACAGAGGGTGCTGCTATTTACCCCTTGTCTTCAACATGCTTGACTATTTCCAAATATTTATTAATCAGTTTGTATAATCACTAAGTAGATTTAGTATTTTAAATTGGTTATACTCTATTTTGAATTATGACGGATGGCTATATTACCAAGTACAGTTGTTTAGGTTTGTCATCAGTGTTGCCTAAAATTGCTGCACTTATGAATAAAAACGATTAAATCTCATGAAAACAATAATTACTTTAATTCAACTTCGAAAAAGGAGTTGAGGAACATATAGAACTCAAAATAACTGTCAACCAACATCAAAGTCAGAATCTTCAATACGAACGTCAAGGCAGTTCTGCTGTACTGAGCTGAAACTTGGAGAACTACCACAACCATCATCAAAAAGCTACAAGTATTTATAAACAATTGTTTACGTATGATACTGAATGTCTGTTGATCGGGTGCCATCAGCAACATCCTACTGTGGGAGAGCACGAACCAACTGTCATCTGATGAGGAAGTTAGAAAAAGTCGTTTTTGAGTAGATAGGACATGCATCTCGAAATTCACCAAAGTGCATCATGAGGCAAGTGCTTACTTGGAAGGGGAACCAAAAAGGGGAGGGCCAAAGAACACTGCGCCGAGAATCGGAAGCAGACATCAAAAGAATGGATAACAACTGGAAAGGATTGTCCTGGACAGAGTTGGATGGCTAATGCTGGTGGGTGGTCTATGCTTCTGCACGAGGAGTAACAAGTGTTAGTAACTTCAAGAAAATGAAACGAGATTTTGACTATGATTCCTCATATTATTGTGTAAACTTGAGACTTAACACCTACACAAACACTCAACCACTTCACATAATTTTTTGACCTCATATTTGTTTGATACATGAAATTAAAAGTGTTTTTTCTACATATTCGTTTGCCGTTGTGATATTAGAAATCATGACATAGTGTGTTCATTTTGTTGCCGAAAATAGCAAATAACAAAATGATTTTATTCGCTTTTACATCATCTGTAGTTTTGATTGTTTGTTTTTTACTTTGTATTTGTATAATCACTGTAAAACAGTTTTAAGTACATTGTTTTAGTGCATGAGGACAGTTATACATACATTCATTGTCAGGTATATATATATATATATATATATATATATATATATATATATATATATATGTATATATATATATATATATATATATATATATATATATAAGTTCTCGTTACATGCGTGTTCTTCAACCATTTGCTCTCTGTCGATTGTCTTAATGGTTCAATCGGAAATCACACCCATATATATATATATATATATATATATATATATATATATATATATATAGACGAATTCTGGTGCAAGTGAACGAATGAGTTGTCTGCTTACACACGTTTGTAGTATATTAACGTCTGTGTGTTGTGCTATATTCTCTTACCTTCTGTTGTCTCAAGGTCTGTAAATATGCATACTAATGTGTGTGCATATTAATTTATATAGTGAGATAGAACGTAAACATATGGAAGCCTCTAATATAGTATTTTTATCTTTCAGTGCGTATGTATATACTTATAGTTAGTTACCGCACATAAATTACATTCTATATTGACGTGATCTCATCGATTTGAGAAAAATAACGGTACCTTTCTCTAACTAGACTATGGACTAGTCACAGTATCATGGCAATATATATATAGATGGAATGTTGGTGATTAAAATTCATTTTTCATACTTAACTATGTATATAAATATAAATGTAGAATACAATCAACACACAAGTTTCTAATAATCTAAAAAATATATTTTAAATACGAGATTCGCTTCGAAATCTAGTTATTTTCTTATTGCATTTAACAAAAGGATTTCACGGTGAGCCTATTTTCATGTTTTAAATGGTCTAATTATATTATCTGAATCATTCTTCGTCTATTACGGCTTATTAATAATAATGACAATTATTTTGTTGCTAGTTTATAAGATAATGTCAGAAAAAATTGTTAGAAATAGCGTGATTTAACCAAATCACGACGTTTTTGATAGACAAACTGATATACGTGTAAATAAGTATGGCTTGATGCAAATATTTATCCAGTTCAACTTACTTCACTTTAACAAAGGTATGAAATTAAGTGTTACTGGCAATCAGGATAAGTGAACAAAATCATGAAATGTTATCCTGTTGAGGGAATGATTTATTTCACCAATAATCGAGTCATGTGATTGTCTGTTTAAATCAAAATAGGTATCTATGTTAATATCTTAGAATAGATAATACCGATGTAGGGCTTAATAGTTACACCCTTGCATGTTTAGGTGAATCTAAGCCTCGAAAAGTTTTACATTTAGTTTATATATATATATATATATATATATATATATATATATATATATATATCAGTTAGGATCAATGCAAACTGAGCGCTCTTAAAACAACTCTAGATGTTAAGCGTTCGCACGCGAGACCTAAGTACGGGGTTCGAGCAACGCGTGCGGGACTTTGGATGCGCAATGCTGAGGAATTCCTTTCCGGTCACCCAGTGCTTCCAGGTTTTCAGTGGTGATCTAACTTAGATCTACATATGAATTTAACTGTTACGATACTACAATCTCCACAAATCCCCACTGATAATTGTGTAAAAATGAGACTGTTGCGATTTTCATGATTTTTGTCACCAATGACTATCGTAACATTTGTTGCGAATTTATTCTGATAAATGATTGATGATGTTATGCATCATTTAATTAATTCAAAACAATATATCGGAACACTAAATTGGTTAATTTAGACAAAATAACTATGAGCTCCATTCTTCTTTTATTTCAGTTCAGATAGGCGGGAGTTTTATCGACCCACATCTATCATATGATTATTTTCTCAATATATATAATAAGTTCATTGAATCACATTCCTTAACTAATGTTTATTCGTTCTATTAATTAGGTCAACATTAGGTATTTTAGTTGTGATATTTATTAAATCAGATTCATATACTTTGAATGAATTTTTTTCTATTTATATTCTTAACTATATTTCATGACATAAATATGGATACCGCTGTCTTTAAAATATTGTGTTATGAAGTCACAATCATAATATACCCAATACTTGATTGGATAGAATTAAGAGTAAGATCAGTAACAAGGAATACTCCGAGATTAATCAGTAAAATTTCTTAAAAGTTTTCACAGATCGTTAAAAATATTCAGAGCGAATAAGGTTTTGTTTTAGCAGTCACAAGGTCCAATAGAAAATAAACATTTTGAATTATTAAAAATAATTTATTCCCCAAATATTTAACTCTGATGCTATTGAGTTCTTTGAGCATGAAAGTTCGATTGTAAAGTATTCATTCTCATTCTTGAGACTGTCACCAATGTCTACTTCAAGACATTATTGAAGCATTATTGGGACTGGTGTATCTGCATGTTTGTGATATAAGTAGATCTGTCTGTCTCTCAAGACCTATATGTAAAGTATTTAAGTAAAGGATTTAATACATACACATATGAGACAAGTAGTAAGCTGATGTTTCGAGAAAGTATTTGTTCTCCTTAATTGATCGATTCAATGAGACAGTCGGAGCTCAATTATAATTAAAATAAGCGATGTTCTGTTGAGCTAAGTGCTGGTTGAATTGCATTTTATTTATGCTCATTAGATTACTGGATCTGTTTGTTTTTGATACATACAGTTTGTGAGATTCCACTCAGTGTTTGATGATCATGTGAACAGCTCTATTGAAATCTTTGATTAATTTAAGGCTTAGTGACTAACTGAAAAGCTGTTTTTAGCAACTTGACTACGCAAATACTTAGTTTATTTCAAGTGATTTTCCATAATCGTTGCTCTTTCGCTCATTGTTTTACTTGGAGATAGTAACGTGAATCTTTAAAAATAGGAATAATAATCGTCTAAGTGGTCGTTATCAGTAAGTCAGTAGCTGATATACTTTTAACTACAACCTATCCTTTTCATCTCTTACCAAATTATTTGTTGTGTTTTCTATTTTCTGTTTCGTTAACTAGCGATCTAAATCATTCTGGAAGTTTACTTTCTTCATATGTTCGTTTAGTTAACTTTCTTAAAACCGCTTTTTTACATCAAAGTATTGTTTTTTGTTTGAAATAATATCAAAAATAATCCTTCTATCTAACCCATTAAAAGTTGAGCAGTTTTAGAAAACTACACACACACACCATGTTTACAAAAAAGTGCTTTTCATTTACTGTTTCAAGGTTTTTAGTGCACCTTACACATGTTTACAACATTTAAATTATCTCTAAATAAGTCTTCCTATCGCTAACTTACAAGACATACACATATATGCGCGTATGCTTAAAATAAATTGTGAGCGCGCTCTATATTCTGATTATTTCGCTATTTGAAACACACGTGCTTCTTACATATTTAGAGTATAATGTCGCAAAAGTACTATTTTTGAACGAACCGCTTTCATCTTTCATTATATCTGATTTAATATTTCTTTTCGGCGTATATACAATATTTGTGTGTTTAGTGTATGACTGACTGCATCTGTATGCAATTAGTTGTTTTTATTCATTTACATTCACATCTAACCCAATTTTTGTATTCAGTGAACAGTGCTCAATACTGTTTGAGTTCGTTATCACTAACTGAAATCTCATTTTCGGTAGTACTGCTAATAATCTTTTTCTTGTCAGAGTGTTTATCCATTCATCACTCAAAATTGTTTATAATGGGGAATATTAGTAATAGTTATTCCAATCCTAGGAACACTAATTCGTCTTCACTAACTTCATCAGTTTCTTCCTCATGCTCATCCAGCCCATTAACTGTTAACATTACGAGATCATCAAGTTATCAGAGGTGAGTAATCCATGTAAAAGATATAACCGTATTTGAATGAGCCTGTCTGTGTGTGCTCTAGTTAATCAATCTACTATAGAGCAACAGTCAAATAAAAACAATGTGCTTTAGCGAGTTTTTTGTGCTTAAGGTGTTTTTTGTTTCTGAGGTAGTTTTTTTACTTATCTAACTTTGTGAATACTAAATATTCAACTCTTCTAGTCTGTGTGCGACATTGTATTTTTTAACAGTTTTCTTTTCATTGGTAATTTTCATTTGTTTTTCTTCGCTTCATGCTATACAGTCCAACTATCCTTGGTGTCACTGTTGCAGACAATGAATTTGAACCAAATGATATCTTATCTACATTTCCATTCACTACAGTTGCTGAAGCTAATAATGTTACTGACGGAAAGTTTTCGACTGTAACCACTGAGGATTTAAACAACATGGTAGTATCCACCGATATTTCGATTCCATCTGGGAAGACTAGCTTGCTTAAAGTCGCTACAGATCATCGACAAAGAGAAGAATTAGTTGATCAAATTACCACTGAATTGCTAAATCAACTTGTCTCTGAAGCTATCGATTCTACGTTGAATGTTCGAAAATCCAACTTTCAGGTAATACATCTTTGACAATTAATTTATTTTACTGAATTATTATGTATAAGGATATTTAAATTTTTCTTTATGACCGTCAGCGTAGTTTTGTATTGTTTTATTGTCATCAACCCGAACAGGACGATACGCGCGTCCCAGATTTAATTGCTAGCCACCACCCATCTTTGCCTTGATATTGCCTTAAGTCACAAGCATTATAAGCAAAGATGGGTGGTGGCTAGCAATGAAATCTGGGACACACAGGATTCACATATACCACTAAGAGACTGATCATTTGCGGTCCTAAGCATCAATAGGGACATTCATACAAACAAAACGAAATGAATTCATAAAACTATTGTTTATATTTCACTCATCAGTGTTGACGTTTATGTGCTTTTCTTGTTTGTTATCTGAAGTAATTAAAGAAAAAAACAATTGCATGAAGAAAATATAGATTTTTAGGTGAAATTATAAATAATCCAAACGTTATTCATTCCAGAGTGAATTCCGACTATAGACTTCATCCACAAACTTTTATATGTAGTTCACGACAATAACAGAAGAAATGTATATTTATTTCCAGAAGATACGAAGTGTTTACATAATTTAGGTGGGGTTTCGTTCTCTGAGCTTGTTAGTTGAGATGTGAAGTTTTCATTGTTCCTGTGTACGACATCGTCAGCACAAACTCCACAACTCAGCCATTTAGCTTAGATAAAAAAGCTCCACATAAATTATCCACCTGAGCCACAAATTTTATTTACATGATACCTATACAAAACCTCCAATAGTCCATTTTCATCTGGTGTGTTATACATTCTGAACTGTCTTCTTGAATGACCTCTAAGCGTTCTACCAACGCAGTGGTTTCGGTACACTGAAACTCTTCTATTTTTGAAAATTATTTCAACTTCCGATACACACTACTCAAAAACATCCTTGGCAGTAACGTCCACTGTAAGTACAAGTTTTTGTGCCACTATATTTCCTATCAGTTTTCTTAATGAAGAGAGTGAGAGCTCGATAAAACAACGGTTTCTGAACATCACAAGGTAATCGAAGTGCGTTTAGGGCCCTTCAGTTTTTTATTTTTACGTTTTGAGATTGAAAAACATATGTATTTGTTTGGATTCGGCTCCTAGTATATTATCGTACATTTTTTATATATATCCAATTAATTCTCATTGTCTTAATATTGATGATGAAGGACAACAGTTAATTTGTAGAAAAATAAGTGAATTTTAGTGTTTGTGGCTACAATTGAATCTATGGTTATTCACTTTTGTTTAACAAATAGATTAAATCTCTTGGAGATTCGGAAAGTGATGATGATGAGGATGACTTGTTAGACGATGAATTTCATCCAAGATCTTCAGAATCTCAATCTTCTTCGGATGATTCGGTGCCTTTATTAGATCTGGGATTAAAAGCACGTGAAGATTATGAAGAAAAGAGTCCTGAAACAGTTAAATCTAAAATCTGTGTTACTCCAGAGGCGTCATATACCGCAGATAATATTGAAGGGCTATTTGCTGATACACCAGACAGAACACAGCCATTGATTCATCTTGCTGTCAAACATTTTTGGGATGCCAAGTTGAATGCAAAGAGTGAATGCGAAGAAGTTGTCCTACTGAAAGCTTCTAATAATCCTCCACCGGAATTCTCAGTTGATTATTATGACGAAGCAGGTAAGTGTTTAGATGTTTAGTATTGATTTTTCAAAGCAATATTAATTTATTACTATATATATGTTAGGGTTACTTGCTACAACCAATCAAACTATTTTCTATGGTCAAGAATAGATGATCACTCAATTTAGTGCTGTGATTGTAGCGTTTTTTATGCATGTCGCAGCATACATATTTGTAATTATCTTTAAAAAGTTGTATTTTCATTCAGTAGTAATGTTATCAATTGTACGAGAACATTGCACTGTATACTGCGGTAATTTTGTTGTTGAAATCTGTCTTTCTGTGGTTTACAGATCTCGAATTGTTCAGGACTCAATCAAATGTAAAATTTATAAATCGTGCTTTATTGTTTGATTTGATAAGTGAAATTATACAAAGGATTTATGTTGGTGAGAATAATGGTGTTGAATTACAAGAAAGGTTAATTAATAGCACTAACTCATCTGAATCGAAAACGTTTCATCGCGTTTCAAGTGCTCAGTTTCGGCTTTGGCGTGGTCCTTGTCCGTAAGTAAAGACGTTTAAATGTTCAGCCTTTAATCTTTTTTTGAAAAATTTAACTAAAGGTGACTGAATCTGTAATCATTTTAAAGCATTTTTCAGGTTTTCCATTGTTTGATTAATCAGGACCACTGGGCAGATTGTGTTAACAGTCATTATGATTACATTTCAAGTATCAAGAGTAAGAGTTTTATGAACTTCTATTACTTAATGCATTAAAATTTTTCCAAAGAACGTTTTTAATGTTCTCAAAATAAATCCTACTATTCAAAAAGTTGCGAGCTAATATTACTTATTTATAGGGATAGTCGCTTCTGTAATTGTTTTGTTTCCTTTTTTCACAGACCAACCACTTACAATCGTCTATTGACTATTGTTCAATCTGAAGTTTGTCGAGAATTGAATCTTAGAATAGAATCTAAATCGGAAATACTTAATCACAGTGGTAATAAAACAAAATATTCTGGTTTAAATGAAGTGATACCGTCTGGTGCACGTTTATCTCGTTTAGTACAATGGACATTAGCCAAAAAATCATGGTTAGATCGTGTATTAGACGTGGAATTACGTGCAGATGAACCAAGTTGGTTATCGTATGTGCCAGAAGAACGTGAGATTAAAATGAAGTTAGCTCGGGAACTATGGGAGGATATACTAGACGATGCTTTGAATTCTGTTCTAGTCTCAAATGCTTGCCATTTGTCCAAGTAATTTATACAAGATCATTCTGTTTAGCGTGTCTAATTTTGTTGAAACTGTAATTTGATTTTTTCTGATATCTAAAATATCAATTTGAAACTACTGTGATATGTATTTTTTAGTGATCAAATGCTTTTATACAAAAATATGTGACTATCAAATGTGTAGAACAGAGGAAATATTGTTTGTATCTCAGATCTCACCTTTTGTTGTTCCCACTTCCTCTCAGCCATATCAATTATCCGTAAACCGAACAGAATATCAACAGTCATATACGAATAATTTATATTCTATTAGCTTTTGTACATATATATTTTTTTGCGCATGTTTTTTTCTCCCTTCCTGTCCACTACCAATATGTTTAATTTCATTGTTACAGTATGGAAAATACAAATGAAATGCTTATTGTATATTATTTGATTTAACATGCATACTCCAATCGCTGTTATATATATATATATATATATATATATATATATATATATATATATATATATATTTAGTATGCTTGAATAAGCTAGTGCATTTGATTTGTTCTGCATCTAACATCGTTCTTCCTGTCCTCCCGCTATTTTTACTCTATGAGAATAATGTTGACTAGATTTTTCTTTCATATTTTCTTTCGATTTGTTTCTTCGAATAGAAATGTTACAATCATGTGTACTTTATAATAGTTGCATGTCAATGACTATTTGTGTTTACTTGTTTCTCTCATCCTTTGTTTTTGTTTTTTTACTCTGTATTTCTTAAAAGCCTATTAAATCAAACGATTCATGTTTTTTATTTATTCAATTTATGTATAAATCAATGTACTATTTTCTCTAATATTGCAAACAGTTTTCTTTATCGTAACGTATAATAGCGATAATTCACTATCATATAATTAGCATAAAAATATTTATCCTTTTCTAATGAATGATTGCTAAAAACATATCTTACTTAAATTACTTAATTCAGTAAGCATGTATACTTATGCAAATATAAGTTATTATAGACACAATAAATGTTATGTAAGAATTACAGTTGAGTAGATAACAGAGTACATTTATTATTTTTTTTGTTATTGATGCTTATCAGATTTTTATCCTGTTCAATTGTTGTAAATGACCCTTGAAATCTTCACAATGTGTAAAATGTGTTCTCTTATTTATTGAACCCAAATTTTCTGCTTCGGAAATGTTGAATTTTCATTTCGTAAGAATATTATTATTCACGTACAAAATTCAAATCTTAAAAGTCTTATATAAGTCGCTCATTTGTAATTCTTCGCATCCCTTCTGTTACGTCCTGGTGTGTAGTCTCTTGTGTTTATATCGACCCTGTTGGGTCCGCAGTCTTGTTGTTCATACTTGACAAGCCAGAACCACTGCAGTTTCAAGACGCAAATTAAGGACACGAAAGACTGGTTCAGTGAAGATTTATTGCTTTTCTTAATACACATTTAATAATATTACATAAAGGAAAAATATGTAGTTACTGTACAAATACATTGAATGTAGTTCACTTTTGTCATTCTGAACACAGTTTATACTGAATTGATAAAAGAAAATATTGACCTTAAGACGTCATTGTGAATGAGTTTTACACCTATAACCGTGTCCATGTCATCTTTTTATCCCATCATATTAGAGAATTAGTGCACAAACTGATGTTTTTAGTGGCTATTATGCGTTTCTTGCAATGATTTACTGACCAACGTCTTACGAGTAGTACAGTTGTCCATGTGAATAAAGTCAAAAAATGAGAAATAACGTGATATTAATCCTGAATATAAGTAGAAATAAACTTTTAATGAAGTGTGTGTACGTAAATTCATTATTCGATGGCAAAATTCTTGCTGTGGTCTATAAAACTAGTTTGCTCTTATTTTGTAGAATGACTCAATAAACATTATTAATGTTATGCATACAGTAATTGGCAAAGTTGTCACATCAATTGGTGGTCATCGAGTCACCATCTACTGAAGTGGTTAGAACATGTGCTGCCTATGTCTAGTCGCCGCCCACCTCAATCAGCAACCTTTGATTATCTAACAGTACATTGGGGGAAAGTCTGGGCCAATGAAACTAAACATAAGAACAGTCTATAATGTCAGTGTTAGCGTAGACTAGTTGATTGAGGTCCACTTGATAACCGCGCTCAGTGGTTGGAGACTTGGTGACATGGCTCAGAATTGTCCGGAGTGACGCAAATCCATACACCTCCAATCTTCCCCCATGTCTTGAATTTCAGTATCTCTTCATGCATACCTTTCTACTGTCTTTTCAAATCATATTCCCAAGGTTAGGTCTTTATTTTATCGTTGCTACTAGATTATTTCGATCTTTTTCGTTGTGTTCATCTCTTGCTAATCTGGAATTGCAATGTGAATGAACACACATCGTTAAGCCTCATACTGATATCTGTTTGTTATAAAATTAATCCGTAAAGGTCACAGGCATTGTTATCCGCTGGGAGGGTATGGTACGATCATATAGGTTATATGATTTTATTATTCCTGACATATTTGTGTGTGATAGATATGGGGAGTGAAAGTTTTGGGAATTTTAATCATGTTTTAGATTGAGATGGTAGATCATCACCATTACACAACATCAGCCTCTGAATTATAAGAACAAACGATGACTAACGTTCTAAATGTCTTTTCATATCTGGCCTGAATTTCATCTAATTACAATAACGACTGAATGAGTTTCAGTAATCTCGAACGTGAATATAAGTTAAACATTAAGGAAATATTATTAAGATATTGATGATCCCACTAACTAGCTTCTTTTTATCAGGATAATTCATTGAATATTTTTTCGAACTGCTTTTCTTGCAACTAGTTTCTTATTTTCACCGTTTATTTACTTTTAAAACTTGTTTTGATGTTGAGAATGAGCTTCGAAAGTTTAATTTTCAGAGATATGTTTTATGAGACTGTATTTTGACTTCCTTCACATCCTAAGTGGCTTCTGAGTTTTGAAAAAGATCATTAAATTTTTGAAACTTACCATTGGGTTCTCTTAAACCCATGATAGTTCGAAGGTGTCCTTTTTCGAAATCATTGGTGTTATTCTAAGAGTTTGTTGGATTTTATGAAGTTACAATAGAATTGTGATGCCTAAAATTGATACGAATCTCTTGAGTTATATTAACATACTATTCATGACTATCAAGATACTTAAAATATAAAGATGTTACCCAAATAAATAGAATAGTGGTCTGATTATCATAATACGTAAGTTATACATAAAAGTTCTCTATTTAACATTGAAATGATCAAGAATGGTTCAAAGGAACATTTACATGATATGCTATTCATAGTTCCATGTAACGTATGACCACAATGATATATTATTGCAAACACAATACGAGATAAATCAGAAGACGTTATTCTATGTTAGGAAATATCTTCACCCTGACTTCTAGAAATATGTATATAGTTTCATATAAAATCCTATTGGTCCGTACCTGATATATATCACTTGTTCCATATAAGTATTATCTAACAAAATACTAAAACTTTATCTGCATTTATTGTTATTTTTATTGTTACCGTAATCACCAATATCCAAAAAAATTGTGAATACAAAAATTAATTAAGAAAATAATAATAGTTAATTGTTTGTTATAAATGATCAATCATATAAACCAATTAAAGTAATTACATATTTCTGATATGAATCACAGTTCATGTGATTGTTTTGCTTCTTCGCTGTAAAAGTTTTGTTTTTTTAAGAGAAAGAACGTACATCCAACAAAGGAACGAATAAACACACAAACAAACACGTAAATGTATATATACTGTTTACCTGAATAATGTCATCATTGTTGTATGTAGTAAACATCAGCATGTTATGAAATAATTAAAAAAGAGTTATATTCAAAAGAAATGGTAATTTGCATTACTTGTCTAAAGAAGGTATGCAATATTTAATGATTGAATGATGCTAAGGAGATACATACACATGTACTCACAAAGCAAATGGTTAAATATGTCTGAGTAGCTTAAAGTTATTGTATTTTATTTGATCTGAAAAATATGATTATTGATATCTGTGTTTTATAATGAATGTAGTTTCATAAATAAAAGGGGATCATTTACAAAACTTATATTAAATTTATCACTAAAATCAGACTATTTTTATGTAACATCTTAAAATATAATTGGAGATTTGTTCGTTTACTATGAATTTTAGTTGTTTTTTTGCAGAAGACATAACGTTAATTCAATTTTATTCTTTGAGAAAAAAAGTCACTCATCATTTGTTTTTAATGAATAATATGAATGTATTTACAGTTTGAATCCATATTTCTTTTTTATGTTCTCCATTAATAATGATTACTATATGTGATTTTCTCTTTATTCTTTGCTTTCTTTTTGTGTGTCACTGTCGTTAAGTTCATTTTTTTCTTGAAATTCAGTTTGTAATGAATTAGTTGAAGATTTTACTCCATTCGATTTCAAATTCATTGAAGATTTACTTCTTGTATCATTTATGTCTGAACGAATTGTAGATTTTCGATTTATTCGACCAATATTTGATAGAACGCTTTCTGATCGATATCTAGAATCTTTTAAAATTGGATTACTTGATTTATACCCTTTAGAATCATTTTTTAACAGATCATTTTCTGATTGACCAATTCTTAATCTAAAGAAGAATAAAAAGAAACCCATGTTGTTTTGTTTAATAAGTTGATTTTCTGTAAAATTCATTTCATTATGTCAAAAGATAATTGAGCCATATCAAGAGGTAAAAACTCACTGGTTGAGATCTATCTGTTAATCCCAATTCGAGGCCTTATTCAACATGATTGTTAATTATAAGCAAAGGTGGATAGTGGCTAGCAGTGGAATCCAGGACGCGCGTTTCGTCCTATTTGGAGCTCGTCAGCTGGATGTACCTGCATCTCAGAGTTGATGTTCACTCCGAGACTCGAACCCAGTACCGTCCGCTTCAAACGCCATCGCGTTATCCACTTAGCTACTGAGTCCTGATAGCCACTTGCTTGTGCAATGGGGTGAAGTTTAATTCACTTAATTTTGTTTTTTTAAGGCAATATCGAGGCATACGCAGAGTATGCACATATGCCAATAAGAGACTGAACAATTTCAGTCCTAAACATCAATGGGAAGATTCAAACAAATAAAAAAACAATATCAAGTGAATGGTTGTTAATTGTTTTTGCAGTACCATAGACTTATTCATTGTTCATTTTTTAAATTAGGAGTTTGTACACGCTTCATAGTTATAAATCATGGACTGTCGTCAGTTAAGTAACCATAGAAAACAGAGAAACACTAGGGAAGTATTTTGTTCATGTATGAGAATCCATAACATTACGGAACGGATGGTAGCCACACTAT